GCGCACACGCGGTCATTACGGCGGCGATCGTTTTACATATTATTATTCTGGACAGTCGTCGCGCCCCCGGTAGGATTGTTGTGATATGGAGGCCTATGGGGGGGGGAGGGCAGGTGAAGTTGGTTTGTTATAAATCGAAATAATATACACTCACACAGACATATATATTATATATACTCAAATGAAATATTATCGTACTCTAAAAATTACATACATGTATATTGTATATAATATACAAGTCGTAGCATTCGTGTGTGACGTGTACAATAATACTATACAGCAGTAGTTTCACGGGCGAAGTGATAGAGCGGCACAGGGGTACCATGAAAAATATTGGTTTACCATAATAGGTACATGTATGCAGTTCATCTAAACTTTAAAAAACTTTCAACTAATAAATGACACTCGTAAGAAATTTGTATTTTTACATCGAAATTCTCAAAAAAAAAAAAAAATGACGTTACAGAATATGAAATCAAAATGTTTATGTTGTTATTTAAAAAAGTAGAAAAACTTTACACAATGTTGTAAACATAAGAAAAATTAAAAAATATAATTAAACAATGTATTCAAATTACCTAAGTATTAAGCATACTCAAAAACTAATACTCTACGAGTTAATGAGTGTTTACGGCAGTTAATAAAATCACACAGTCTAGGTATATTATAGTAAATAATAAATATACGACTCGACTGGTTAAGCTCAATGATCTCGAGTGTTTAGCGGCTTGACGTTGTGTTATTATACTTGTATCACCATACGTAAATCATAATATATTATAATATTATATACATAGGACATTCCACGAGAAAACGAACAAAGATCTCGAACCAATATAATATATTATTATACACGCATTATAATATAATAATATATAGGTCTCCCGTCGTCCCGACCATTCGTCCGCCGCGGTCGGTCGTCACAATAATTAGCCAAAAATGATAATAACCACGTTCCTCGACCGGATACGACGGCTAGTGCGTATTTTAACACTATATCACTATATGGTATATACACACTAATACACAGAGTATAATAATATTATGTGTGTACTATAATATAATCTCTGTATATACACACGCGGACCATTGTACGGGCATAAAGACGTCGTCGTCGTGGCGACAACTCGGCGATGTTGTCTAGCTGCGCGATTTTTTTTCATTGTCATAACGTCTTATATTATACACCGCTCATACTCGGAGATAGATAAAAATAAGAAATAAAAACGATTTTCGTTCGAGTAGGAAAAAATGTAACAATTTTTATGGTATTTTAATAACGGCTATTACGGAGCGCGCATTTCGATGCTACATAATTGGTCGGTATCCTTGCTGTACTGACTCACAGTAGCTGCAGTAGCAGTTATACACTTAAATCTACTATAATGGTGGTCGATCACATAATAACATCAACATAATGTAATCCCGTAAATTACCCAGTCATATTAGTTATTAATTTTTTTTTTAGTTATTAATTATTATTTATTAATATATATATATCTCATATTATTATTATGTACGGGTTTACTTTCGTTTTTATTTAGTCGATGATTATAGTATATAATTATTGTATTAAAATATATTATATGGAAAAACAGTCATTCGTGTACTATATATTATAATCGTAATAATCTTACGTAAAATTTCAATTTTTTTTGAAATTGTTTAATTGCACGTTTATATATATATGTGTGTGACACGTAACGTACTGTTTTTGTAGGAAGAAAAAATTGTATTATTGCTTACCATGCATGCGGTGGTGGTCTCTAGTATAGTTCTAATTTCGCATTGCAGACAAATCACTACCTCCCAATTGATGCATTCCAATATGTATCCCACCGTCTCTAACCTGCAGCAATGTAAATAAAAAGATAAAGATTTTTTTTGTGTGTATCGTATTGATCAATACAATCAAGCTCAGTGTATGCGACTTCTAAGCTTCTCGGCCGTCTCGTGGGCTGTATGTAAACGATAATGAGTTTGCAGGGTAAATGATTTATCAAAAATTACAATTTTGTTATATTTATTTATTTATAAACGACCGAGCGCTGTAAAAACTGCAAAATATGCAGTCCTCCGTAATGTACTGTAATATACTAATATTGCTTAAAACGAAATAAATTGCCATTTTCAACGTGATCGAAACGTTAATAATATTAATGTATTACGTAATAATACAGTCGGTTTGGAATTTAAAAAACAGTTTTTTGAGTATACGCCTGACGTTAATGATCGGGCACTATAGGAGCAGTAAGTACCTATATTATAAGTATTGCAGGGTGTAAAATAGTACCTATACAAATATTTAGGTACCGTGTAATTAACATAATATTATTAATATATTATACTTCTCTAAGCACTTCACCGCGGACTACGGCGGTTCGCTGTATGGAGAAAAAGCACGGTACGTTCAGAATTCCAAGCGGTCATTCATCCATAAGAATATTAGCACCGTTTAGCGTGGCTCGAATTCGTGTTAATATCTGTGCGATTAGCGCAAGATCGCTGTCGTGCCACACGTAAATCACCAAATATTCAGGCGGCCATTAACTTAAAGATTCCGCAACGAGTTAAAAAAAATAATAAAAACCCGTAATAAATTAATAACATTGTGGGTATCTATAAGGCTATTATAATATAGGTATGTATATTTGTAGTGTTTGTAGTGTATAAGTAATAAGTATATATATTATATTATAGTCGTTATAATTATATGGTAGTTGGTCAATGCGCGTATATATTAAAATATTATTATTGCTGGACTCCGAGTACTATGTATTTATAATACGGCCGTCGCTGTGTGTAATGAAATTTTTTCGGAGAATAATTGTGGACGACCAGTTTCATTATATTATACGTATTACGGCCATGACGCGTGTGTATACAGCGTGCGAGTGAGACGACGGTGGAGAGCTGGTGTATATTACACCACGTCATATACACATATTATTATTATTTATTATACGCGTACACGACGAGCAGGTAAACGACGGTTTTTTTTCCGAGGGAATCCGTAATTTTTTGGATTTTGTCCGTTTCCAACGCACACAAAGAGTTGTAGGTATGCGCTGCGGGTCTGCCCGGTGGCTGGTGCGCACACATACTGCGTCGTACCTACATAATAATATTATGTGGGTACGGAGACGCTGTCTCGTTGTTTAGGGTCCGACGCGTACGTTATAAAAAAAATATTACATATATATGTATAGGTGCATTAGCGGGCGCTCGACGAAACTGTGCATCGCTGCCGAGAGTGCCCGCGTTCGGGGGTTTGGTCTCGTTTTCCTGGCAAGATACATCTCCGACCTTGAACCGACGAAAACTATTATACACACCGTGTGTAATTTATTCTATTATATATATATATTCACTCGATGTGTGTATATATTATATACATCGAGTGAACTATATAATTAATAAACTAGAATTCATCATGTCGGGGAAAACATTCGGTTCCGACATATTTTCGTCCCGGGTACGTTTAAATAGGTACCTACTTCGTGTGCATACCTACTACCAACTAAATACGTTTTATGATGGGAGTATGATGCACAGAGTGCGTGGAAATAAAAACACGCTGCCGTGGCAATGTTTATCTGCCGCATTTCGTATAATATCATATTAACATTATGTAATATAATATACGATATAGTACCTATCATAATATTCATATTGTACATATTATTTTGTACCTACACACTCGCGAATTATAATAATTATAATAGTAAACTCCTATCGTTTGACGCCTTCAAACACACACACAAACAGCACACGCGCACAAGCACAAACACACTCTCACACAGACAGACACTCTGCACATGCACATGCACATAATTAAATACAATTATTATGTATATATTGTACATAATATTATAGGTAAAACTAAATATTGAAAAGTTTGTTATTTTTTTTCGTACTTGTGCAGTTTGGCTCAGGTTAAAACCGCGTATAGTACGTCCAAATATTTGTACATTGGGCGTATTATCAGTACATATACAATTAATGATTGTCTGTTTTTTTTGTCCTCTATAGACTCGGATACTATGTGACCATATTCATTAAAAGCTATATCAATAGATTTCTAGAGACTAGGAAAGTGTTTATACCTTATTTTTCAACCCTATATGTTGCTGTAGGGTGGCTTACACAGTCACATATGTACAAAATCTTGGATCATGAAAATCTAATATTTTGATATTTAATCAATTGGTTACCACTGGGTACAGATTATATTACTATTATAATTAGTGGAAATATGGCATATAAAGTTTTTTACAAACACAAAGCTTAAAATCGAATACTTATGAATACAATTACAATGATTACATTTATGATATACAGATATACTCTCATAATTTTGGAGGTTTTTTGAACACGTCATAAATACAATGTATAACAATCTAAAGACATTGGATTTCCGCCGGCTTTTAAGTATTAGTTGAATCTGTCTTCAATTTTTGTGTATCGGCACATCAAAAATATGTCCTAAATTATTAAGAAGAGGATAATCATAAAATCAAACATTGTAATTGGGTTTGTAATTTGTATTATATTTTTCAACTGAAGTAAAACGGAAAACGATAGACTAATTTTAAGCCTAGTGAAGTTGGGCAATATTCAGCTAGTATATTACGTATAGGCACTGCAGTTTCCACATATTATTATTATTATTTATTATCATCATGGTTTAATAATATATGTAATAAGTACTTGAATAGTTGAATACACAGCGCGAACGTCATATAGTTATGATGATGTCATTCTACAAACCTTTGTACAAGAGATATTATAATATTTTTGTTTGACTAATAAGCAATAACCTATATTGATATGTACCTATATATATATTGTACCAAGTACAGCGAAAACTTACACATTTTTCTTTGCCCGCTGTACCAGAGTCGGCGGCGTGTCGATTACGTTCGTGTAATAATGTATGCATGTTAATCAGTTGCAGATATTATGTGGGCGCGCGAAATGTAGGCGTCGGGCGAGCTAGCATGCGGAGCGCCAGCACAGTGAGCGGCCCTCTACTGTCTGTTTCAACGCCTGCCAGCCAACAAAACCGGTTCGCTGCCGTCCACCTGCTCACTGGCCAATTATTGTATTTCATTGTCGAGGTGAGTGTAAAATGACGACTACGGCCCTAAGACGGCGGAGCAGAAGAAAAAGAAGAAATAGAAGAATAAAAAGATTAAATACGAAAGAGACGGCGTTGATAGTGAGCGTGTGTGTGTGTGTGTGTGTGAGAGAGAGAGAGAGAGAGAGAGAGAGAGAGATGAGAAAATATTTTTATTTTTCGATACATTGTTTACCGGGCAAATATGATTATATCCGCGAATTTCGACTGTGATGATGGTACCTATATAAATACATCATACACATATTATGTCTCACACGAGTTATGAGGTCGCCAAAGAACATACCGTAATGCCTCCATATCGTAAAATATAATAATATATTATATAGGTAGGTACCTATATTCGCTTATAACACTGAATATAACAATATGTGTTGTTGTGGTAGACGTGTTATAACTGGACCACTGGAAACCGGCATTGAATTCGGGTACATCCACGATAGAATATATTATATTATATTGTCAGAGTGCGTGAGTATAAAACAAAAAAAAACATTTTTATAAATTATACGACCGACCTACATAATATAAAATATACTAGTGTATAATATTATAATATTTGGTCGCGGTCAACGACAATCGTATCATGGCTCGGTCAGATTTATTTTGGGTTGCTCAAAATATATTTTAATAAATCGATATTACCGTGGTATGTATAATAAAAAATCAATTGTGTGAGAGAATGAGTGTATTTGTGCGACTGTGTAATATTTATAAATTGGGTGATCCATAACCAAAACGAAAACACTTATTATTTATTTATTTTTACATAATTTGAAGTCCTTAAAAACATTTTACTATAAAATATATTTTTACAATTTTTATCTTTATTTCCTTTTTTCAATTACAACATGCAATTTGAATTTGTTATTCCAAAACAAAATATTTTTTGGAGTTCATCGTTGTATAAAAATTGAATTTTGTACGAGTATAGTTTATGATTTATAAAATTTTAATTTAATCAGTTTAGATGAGCGGAGTGGACTAGTGGAGTAGTAAGGGATACCCCGCAAAATGTTAGTCCACTATTTCTCTTATATAATCTTTAAAATTGAAATACTTATAAGTTATAAGTTTTAATTAATAAACTACTTTTCCAAAATCTGATTTTTATAGATTAAATAAATATATTTTTACTCTCCAAATAATATGCATATGAAATAAATTATGTATGTTGTCATACAAAAAGTAATAGGTACACTTGAAAAAATAATACCGATAGAAAATAGTAAAAATATAATGTTATTAGTATTTTCTGTTATAATGAGTGCCTTGTCTGTTAAATGGATCACTCCGTATATATATAGAGAGAGATATTGAGAAATTATAGATTCGGTTTATAGAATATACGCTTTTCGGACTATATATATAAACATAAGGTAAACTTACAGAAAGTGTATTTTTGTTTTTAGGGTAAATCTCGGGTGAAAGAAGTCTTCTCACAGCTGATGACTTACATGATTGCTCAAGGAGTGCAGGAGGTCGAACTGTTCGCACTGGCATTTATTCTAGGTGAGTCGAATTTACACTATCACGACGATGGTATAATAGTAGGTGCCTATAGAGATATAATATTACAATGTAATTAAAGTTTACATAATAAATTGTGCATAATATTTATAAAGTGTATTATAATTTAATATAATAATATTGTACATACACTTTACCTATAATATAATTATCAATTTAATATAATAAATTATCTGTTTCTACGATGAGTGCGTTTAATAAATCTAATGATACATAATATAATCTACAACTGCGACCTTAATAAAGACTGCAAACGCGATCATTGCACATTATATTGTACCGGTATGTAATATGTATGTAGTATGTGTATGTCGTGTGTGTATATGATAAATATAAGTATGTGCATAGGCGCAAATAGGAAGGGTGGCTGGGAGGGCTTAGCCCCCCCCCAAAACTAATGATTTTAATGTTATGATTTAAAAGCATCAAGTATAGACCTGAGCTACAGCCTCTACAAATTTCAAACACTATTTACGCCTATCAATAATATGTGATTCCAACAATTTCGTAAACATACCATTTAAATCAATAATAATAACATAAAACTGAAAGGTATAGAATAGTAATTACTAATTTATATTCGCTTATAATAAGATGAATTCAGTATATTACATTGCCCATCGCTCGTATATGTATTTTATGTATATATCATCGAAGAGATATTAAAATAAAATATTTTTTAAGCGTCTATGCCCTCAGAACATAATAATTGTTCACTACTCTACTGCAGTCGCGATAATATTTTCAATTAATTTTATTATTTAAAAAATACCATTTATAAAATTATACTATAATATGTACAAATCCGTTATGAATGCCAACGCGTTTTATGTGTTAGTATACATTGTATACCTACAGGTATATTATACACATATATTTTGATTGTACATAACTGTTAAAATTAATACATATACAAATAAATTATGCACGAGAATGTTATTTATCGTATTAATTATTATGTTTGAAAATAAATCGGATCTTATATTTTAATAATAACTGTTTATTTTACCAACAAAAATTAATTAAATTATATATTATTGTGGTGTGTTTGTAATACAAAAAATCATAAACGTGATTAACGGACAATAATTTCTCGCCAAATATGTTATAAGAACAATGGGATGTCAGCGCACTGTTTGTTTTCTCTCTTTGCGCAGCATAGCAAATCTACGTTTAGCAGTACCAACCCCGTGTGATTAATTTTAATATTAGAGTGAATTCACCTACCCGTATCGTTGATATTTTTATTTTTATGAAAATTATTATGAGCGTGTAAATTATTATAATTTAAAAATGCTTATAAATTGTATATAAAATAAAATAAGCCAACGCAGGGGCAATTAAACAAGGGTAATGTTCTTAGTTTAAAGTTTGATGATAGGTGAATTTCACTCTAATATTAAAAGTAACAACACAGTGTTGGTTCTGATAAATATAAATGCTCTTTGTTGCACGTGGGTCAGATAGAGAAAATAAATGGTGAGCTGACATACCCTACTCCCTAGCCCTAGACCCTAGTAAAGGAATGTATATCGTTGTTTTATTGTATTATTAAAAACTACTAAAAATAATAATGAATATTACAATATGTCAAGGCGCGTCGTATAGACAATTCAAGCGCATAGCTGCCATCGGAGTTAAATGATATTATAATGTGTATTGTTTTGTTTCAGACGAAGAATATTTTTTCACTGACCCCGACAGTAAACTGTCTAAGTATTCGCCAAAAAGTTGGAAATCGTCTTCGACATATGTAAGCATTTTAAAATTTATTTTTGTTTAATACAAACTTATTAAAAGTAATTTATTCATTCCAACTTCCAACTTTACCTTGCGCTCCAGAGTTTACAGAGAACTACATACGATACGATTGAAATTTTAATTTTGTATCTATTTAACTTCAACACATTTAAATTTATATTAAAATTACGTAATAAATACCGTACTTAATTAATTAGGTAATTAAAATTATAGATGTTGATATTTACTTAATTAGTTAAAAATTAATTAAAAACTACATAATTTGAAACTGTTATAATATACCAAACATATATTTTATAGTTGTGCAACGTTAATAATTATTTATAAATTTGTTATTCTATATAACGCGGATTCGTATAGTTAGGAACTTGGTTGTTAGTTACAAGTAGGTGGGTGGGGGGAAACTTAAAAGTGGGATATTATTTTTTAATATTTATTTGTTGTTCCGCTCAGGTTGCCGGTTGGAATACGTACACATACGTATAATTATGAGTACAACCCGAGCGAGAAGGGAAATTTATTATGCAACTGTCTCAATTTATTCCGGACGACATATACATATATATATATACGACTGCGTACACAATAATTGGTTTTTAAGTTGTCAAAATGATATGTTGTTTTGATACTTACAACAACAAATACGTATATATTATATACGTATTCTTTACTCGTATCCGTATATATATATTTTATATATAGTTTTTCGTCCCGATCCAAGGTCACGTTAGATTATCGTGTTCCTTCCAGCTAAAGACATATATATATAATATATACCTGTATAAGATTGCAAGAAAGTATTACCTAATGCCAAATGAAAACGGGTTTAATCCCTTCTTTGTCTTCCTCGTTTTTTATTTACATATATTTATAATACACACTCGAGTATTTGATTACAAGTCAACATCGGTATTTTAATTTTGTTTTTTTTTTTTTTTTGTTTTATCACGCCTCAGGGTCTCGATCAAAACGGCCAACCTCTACTCCAGTTGCATTTACGCGTCAAGTTCTACGTCGACACTACTAAATCTCTACGGTAATTACAACGTATACGCACATACATAATATACATTTATAAATATAGAGCGACAGATATATATATTATATATAATTTTAATTCGATTTAAGTTCGTGATATTTTTTTTATAATATAGCCGCCGAGAATATATATGATATGTTTGTGTGTGCACATAATATTTTATTACATTATACACATTAATACTTATATTCAAGTCGCCGGACAAAAATGTTTGAATAAATATTAAACGAGTCATTAAGTTATTTAAAAAGTCATATTATTCGACTGGTAGCACGAAGCGTTTGCGTGAGTACAGTTTAATGCATTCGTGGAATTTATGTATAGTTAGTTACGCGAGCGCTTATATATATTATAAACGTTTTATACTTGTATACGTATATATGTATATTGTATACATCTATACACATTGTACGTGTACTCATAGTATATATTATATATAAATAAATACCACGTGATCGACAGTAAATTATGCGTTAAAATAATTATAAAAATATTTACGACTCACTAGCCGTCGCTGCGCGTAGAATTTTTTCCGACGTCAATTCGGTACGGCGGCGATGGGTGCGGAGAAGAGAAAATTCGACCAGATGCCTACAACGATGTGTTCGCTGCCCAAGCAACAACAATAATAATGATGATGATTTCGATAAACAGTAGTGCGTAATACAGGCTTAAGGTTTTCAAACCGTTCGGAAATCCTTATCATAATGTGATGTTTATAATAATATAGATTATAGGTTATATTATGAGAGCGAGGAATTAATCCTCACCGGTCACCTCGTTAACTATAAGATATTTTGCTAGGTACGAATAGTATGTGTCATGTCGCCGGGCAACAAACGGATTAAAAGCGTCATATTATGTAGGGATTAAAAATTATAACTAAACTCAAATACATGACGTATTGCCGTATAGGTAAATATTACATAATACACGCTACCTAATTACAATAAACTTATACCACACGCTCAGCGTCATCTATAGAAAGTGTGATGAAGTATGAATTTTCTATGCTAACCGAACGAAAATGGAGACCATCCAGCAGGATCCCAGGAAGTCTTCAGACCTCCGTAGTATTAGTGTATAAGTATATTATCATTTATTAGTGCTATGCGAACTGTGCACTTATTTTTGTTCGATTGCCTTCGGAATAAAATATATTGAAGTAGGTAATGCATGTTTGAGTGGTTGGGCATAGCAGTTGCAATACACCATACGTTTTTACATACTCATATTTTCATTAATTTCGTCATCAGTCATTACTATATTATAATCCCTCTACAGTCTACGACATAATAATATATTATTATAATTTATAATATACCTGCACAGTGTACACGAGGAGTTCGTTTACTGAAACATAAAGATTTTAGGTGCATTATATACCTAATATAATTTGTATATATTATAACAAAGAATTATAATCTACATGCAGAAAGACGGTTCTTACCTGAGTCACTTCGTCAAAGGGTTTATAACTATATATTAGTGTTTACTTTTATCCTCTCGCATTTTCCCACCAAACTCATATAACATCAGACGACTAAAAAGATGCACGTCTATGTAATCATAGTACTCTAGTCTAGCTCAATATCGACCTGTGGGTGGCACACTGCAGGGTGCTCTCCCATCTTTCACACTGCGAATGTAAATTCGTTGTTACCAAAATTACTTGTTGTTAAGATAATCTCGTATATAGAATGGAAATTTTAAATATAAAAAAAATGCATATTATTAATAATAATCGTACCGCGTGCGCGTGTATACATGTACCGAATAGTTGTCATATTATTGTATTAAATTAGACGCGTTTGCTTTGCAGCGATGACTTCACCCGGCAACACTATTACCTTCAGCTGCGCAAAAATGTCGCGGACAGGGGCGGCCCAACGGAAGACGGCGACCGCCAGAACGTACTGCCGCTGGTGGCACTCGGCCTGCAGGCGGACCTCGGCGATCACACGGCCGACACTGACATATCGTCGGAGCTGCTTGAACAGTATCTCCCGCCGAAGGTATATATTGACTCGTATATCGATAAATTTGATATGCCTACATTGCATTGTGTACCTGCACTTGCAAATATTATGCTGCTGCTGCAGTGTATTATCATTTTGTATTTGGACAATTTTCCCCACAGAATTATATTGGGCTTGGGGATATAGAATATAATGTGCATGCTGGATAAAGTGCCGGATCTTGAACTCTGAGGGTCCTGGTGCAAATGAAAACGTAAGCGCTCCTAATTTAAATTACCGCCCTGCCTGGATATGTTGGCCCGGATTGAGGGACCTATACGGTGCCCGTAGACTGTGAACAATTAACAGGTGACCCTATTTTACCAACTCTATGTGAAAATATTATTTTAATATTTGGGTAATTATTTGTGTTTATATTGTACGAATTCACGCTCATCCCTATTTTTCTTTTAATAATGAATATTATATTCAAATTCTAATATTGGAATTTCAAGTAGGTATACTCATACCTATTTAAACACAATATTTTATTTTATTTAGATTTTTATACCATTCAAGGTATGTTCCGTGGCCAAGACCGTATTTGAAAGGGGTTTTGGGGGCTCAAGCCCCCTGAAACTTTTCTTATATAGTTATTGAATTTAGTTGATGGCCCATAAGTCATAACTTTGTGTACTCTAGGATAATACGTCCACGGTAATATAGCCAATAGGTTTGGAATATACGGGAACTATGATGATTTGATGTGATAGTTATTAATATTAATGTTTCAAGAATACCTAAAAATATTCGAAAGTAAGAATTTGAATAAGTTCATTATTGAAGGGTAAAATGGGGGTGCGCATGCTAATTAAATCACCTTGTATAATATATAGCTATTATAGCTCACCTTTAGGTTTTTTTTACATCTATATAATTTATCAAATCATTGAGATGCCGTATATATGATTCCCGGGCTTTATAATAATTATTCCCAAGCATTAAGCTTAAAGAAAGTATTTTAAACATTTTAATATTATGTAAATTATTTTATATATGTTTTTACAATAAAAATTTCGGAAAAAAAATTTTAATTATCTGCAATTAACGAAATCCTCAGAGGTACCTTTGAGATTTCGAGATATACTATACTGCAAATATTGTCTATAATCGGCGTTTGACTCATAATCACTCGATCCTGTTTTTGCTACAGGCGTACAAGATTAATGAGCACAGGGTGAAACAGACGTTGTGCACTCTGCACAAGAGCCATAAAGGAATGTCCAAGACTTGTGCGCAGACAATGTTCCTCCAGGAAGCTGGTGTGGTGCAAAAGTCTCACCTATACCGGTTGCGGTTGAACAAGTCACAGCCGAAACAAACTCAGGGATGCGCGATGTCCATATGCAACAGCGTGTTTTTGGCCATTTCTATCAACGGCGTACAGATTTACCACGTGAGTTCCACTGCGAAAATTCAAACATTAATATCACCCACCTTAATACATGACGCATTTCTTTGGTACCCTACGTCATATAGGCGTTAAGGGTTAAAATTATTTATGGCGGGAGGGAACTAAGAACTTAACTAAATAGGATGAAAAAATGTTGTTGGATTTCTGGAAGAACCATCATTATAATTTCATAATATTACTAGCCGATCCTGTGCACTTCGTTGCCCGTTAAATGTACCAACACTATACGACTCAAACTTTGTTCAATTCGTTATTTAATATTCGGTGTGTGGTGTTCAAAATGTATCTTAACATTTCTGTTGCCTGGAATAAAAATTCTGATTCGCAGCAGTATATTGTCAGGTATAGGCAATCTACCTGTGGTAGATTTCGGACCCAGTGCTGATTGTACGTAAGTGTATGGTTTAACTGTATGAAACTAGTTTCATTTACTTATGAATACATAAGTATTCAAATAATTTTCAAACAATTAGAATAAATAAGAAGACTTTTTTGGGCGAGGGGGGCAACTCCCGATTTCCGCCTATGCCCTACAGGATAAGTGTTATAATAATTTTTTTTTTATTTTTATTTATTCTTCAAAAGATGATGGGCCCCACTGAACATTTCGTGTGGGGGCCCATGAGTTCACAATTTGAAAAATAAATACATTAAATAGTTTTTATAAATTAAATGTTTACGATTTGTAATATACATTTCTCACATACCTAACTCTAATATTAATAATATAAGTAATATTTATTTTCTTCTCTTTGTTTATATAATATAGTATTATGTAAGAAATTGTTTAGTTAAATAATACAATACAATATGGTAGTATAAAACTAAAATTAACAATAATTACTAAAGTCGTACAACTAATATGATAAATAATACAGTAATCCTATACGTTTGTTATGTGTCTGTCTATATTTTGTTCTAGTAATAGCCAAAGTGTAGTTTTTTTTTAAGAATCTTAAAAGAGTTGCTGTGCTTAATTTCTATTAGTAGAATATTGAAAATTTTTGGACTAATATATAGGTATGCGGATTGTGTTAATTTTTTGTGCATAGTTGGTACTTTGATATTAGATATTTCCCTATGGTATTGTGTCCGTGTTCAGTTTTAAAAGTAAGGTTATTCTTAATTATGTAATATACCGACGCTTTATAAAATAATTTTTTTATTGGTAATACATTCATGTCATTATATAAATATTTTGTGTGGTATTTTTTTTTAGTATTTTATTTTGGATTTTTTTAAATGGTTCTATAGTTGTATCATACATAATATTATAATAATCTATCTAACTAATGTTTTTCAACAGGAAAGCTTATCGCAAGCGCTCACTGGTTTATTCTTGTGGAACACCATCGTCAAGCTGTGTTTTGACGTGAGTATAATAATAATTAAAATTATAGATATTAAAACTTAGGCCATTGGGAGGGGGGTTGGTACTGTAGGTTTTTAACGGTAGGTGAGTGTTACACGTGGGTGTATTTTGGGCAGAATTTTGAATGGGGCACCCGTAGGTTTCTGCCATGCCCCGGAGAGGGGGATGGCGGCACTTGTTCTCCGGACACCGTGACTTGCCCGGAGAAAAATGCCGCCCGGTGGTCGAGAGAATCGAACCCGCGACTGCCAGCGCCGCAGCCGACGCGTTAGACCGCTCGGCCACCTCGTCCCCGATGAATAAATTATTTTCCGCTTATTTTATTTTTCGGTGTGTCATCACTAGTCATTACATGGGAGCCGGGCTGTTTTCCCATAGCTGCCCCTCAATTATTTTCCGCTCCTAGTTTCTTACTCAGTTACGCCACTGTTTAAACATATAATATATATTTACTACACTGCCTACACTAGGTATGTGCAATAATATAGTCAATCATAACGATATATTATAAATGATAATAGTACATAATATTATGTGCAACTCATAATTGATTTTTAACGAAATGGTTTTTACGCCGCAGCGTAAAAAATTCGAACTGAGGCCATCGAACGTAGATCGGATGGTGTACTACACGAATTCGGACGAGAAGAGCAAGAGGATATTAGCACTGTGTCGAGAAACTCATCAATTTAGCATGACAGTACACCCGAGGCTTTTGGACGCGTTTTTGAATAACAACACATCTGGTGAGTGCCCTCGACGAATCAGCAAAAATAATAAAAACTAAAAACGCAAAAATGTCACCGTGTCCGTTAATGATTACCATTCACTAATTATTGATTTTTGTGCTGTGCAGATAAGAACGCGTTCGACGGACTGAAATGGACCAACGATAAGAAATCAAAATCAAAATCGAAGAAAGACGATGACGCCATCGAAAACAAAAAATGCGAGAACGGTGGTTGCTCCGATTCTAGTATTTCGACGGCCGACCCGAAGACTTCTATTTCCAAGGACAAGGTATGTACATATATTATATGATAGATATACACAAGTGTTTTAAGTTTTATCATCGTTTTGCAATCTTAAAATTCCTTTTGAAATTACATACTAGTTTTAAATAAAGAAATTTGTAGAAAATTAAAAATGATTAACTCATTAGTTTTAACTTATAGACTATATAGTATATACGTATGTATAAGGATGATTTTAACTTACGTATTATTTTTCTAATCAACTGGCAATAGTTAAGATTATTCAATGAGTTCTATTTAACAAGATAACTTTTGATATTAATCAGACAATTATTAACCAACTAGTTAAAAAGTTAAAAAGTTTGGAAAATAAAACTTTCAACATAGGTAGCAACTTAATTTTTAAAATTTTAGCCCGTCTTTGTTCACAATATTACGCTTGTGCCTTAGGTGCCCAACGGAAGCATATCGTCCAGCGTGGAACTGGGCTACAGTCACACCGCTCAAAACTCAGCCATGTCCGAGCTGGACTACTCGGTGCAGTCGGCGCAGGACAGCAGCGAAGCGTACCTGATTTACAGGCACCCGAGGGCCAGGGCGGCTTACGTGGACAACAGCAACCAATCGGCAAACACCAGCAGTGGAGTGTACACGTGCGCTAGCTACAGCACGGCGTCCAAGGACATGGCGTCCGTGTCGTATACCACCGAGAACTGCAGTGAGGACTGCAATCACGTCAGTGGCATTTACAAAGCTTCAACGGTCGCGGCCGCCTTGCAGAAATCGTCCATGATGGAGGAGCAACCGGACGCCGACTCCGCGTACAGCGCATCATTGCCGCCGGACACGGTGGCGGCCTCGTCCACGTCGGCGGACGAGGAAGGTCGTCCGATGGGCCACGGTCAGCAGACCACAGCAGTCGACGACTGCGACGGGGGCTGTGGCGGCACTGACGAGCTGTACGACCTGTCAGCCGCGGCCACCAGCGACAGTTCGTATTGCGTTGGCATCGCCACGACCGCCACAACCGCCTCCGATGTGGCCCTGTCGTCAGCGTCGTCGTCCAAATGCGGCGATAACGGTTGCGCATTGGACGGTTACGCCGACGTGGGTGGTGCGGCGACCAGTGGCCGCAGCCGTAGCGGTTCAGTGGTTAGTAACTCGGGCAGTTTCCGCGGTGATGGCAGCGACCCGTCCGAGGGCGGGCGCGGCGCGCTCCTGTCCGCCGTCGAGCTGTCCGACCTGATTGTCGGTCGAACGTCGTTACAGACACCCCGCAAGGGTTTCTATCCGTCGCGGCCGACCACCAGCTCGACACTGGACTCAGACTCGGATTACGTGACGTTGCCCCCACCGATGAACTTCGTAACCGGCGCCCCGTCTTTGTCCAACCTATCACTGGCTAACTTCGATTGCGGCACCGGCACTGTGGCCCCGCACTGGGACGTCCGTCGGTCGCTTGACCTTCTATCCAATGTGGTCAAGTTCTGCGGCGGTCATCACCATCATCATCACCATCACCAGTGCGTGCAGGTCAACAGCAACAATTACTTGGACGTGCACAAGAGCGGCGCTGCATTCTACCACCACATCTACCCGGCTGCCGCCTCGGTAGCCTCGGTAGCGCCGCCGCTTCTGCACGCTCGACAACCACCGCCTCCCCCACCACCACCACGGCCCAAGCGATTCGACTTGCAGCTGGAACAGTACAAACAGCAGCTCCGGTCCGATGTCGACTTCGTCGTGTATCCGCTCCAAGACCCGGCGGTCAGCCGCCAAGAATATGTGGATGCCAAGCTGGCCCGTGGTCGTCGGCACCAATACCACAGGTATTACGGCTGCGACCCGCCGTCGTACCAGGCCAACGCGCACCTGTATCGAAGCACACCAAACGTGGCAGTCGCAGTGTCACCGCCCCCGCCGCCACCATCCTCGTCGTCAGCGTCGTCGTCGTCGCTGTCCCACCAGCAGTTCCAACACCATCTTCACCACCATCACCTGCTCAGTCAGCAGCAGCAACTGCAGCTGCAGCAACAGCAACTACAGCTGCATCAACAGCAATTGCTGCTGCAGCAACAACAACAGCCACCGCCGCTGCCTCCGTTGCCGCCACACTTGAAATACGCTTCCAATCAAAACCTGCTGTTCCCAGCCACCGTGGCCGCATCCGCCGACTACGCGGCGCAGCACCATCACCACCGCCGTCACAGGCTGCAGCCGCTGCCGCTTCCCGTCCGAACGTACTCTCACGATGACTTACTGGCGGCCACTACGTCGGCACCAGCAGTGCCTCCGAAAGTTCAGCTGTTCCATAGACGGCCACCACCACCACCACCACCTGTGACCGGACTCCAGAAGCCCGCGTCTGTCATCCCTCGTCGCCCCGCTGCTGTGGACGCCGACGCCGCCACCACCACCCCCACCACCACCAACGGCGCCACCACTCCTACGGACTCCCAGTCGGTGTTGGACATCTTATCATTGCGGGAGAAAAGCCGCAACCTGGACTTGCCGCTGATATCGGCCCTGTGCAACGACCAGACGTTGCTTAAGCAAACCAACGCCATGGTGACCGAAAACAAGGCCACGCAGACTGCGGCCGCCCCTTCGTCGTCCCTTTCCGCCGCTACGGCCCTCGCGGCGTCTTTGTACCAACCACTGCCACCGCTGTCTTTGTCTTCGTACCATCAACCGCCACCGCGACCTTCGTCTTCGTACCAACCACCGCCACTGCCGTCGTCTGCGGAACAGACACAGCCACCGCAGGGTGGCGTCAAATCCTCCAATAAGCCGAATAGCACGAGGTGCACTAACGGTACGTCGTCGTATTCGTCGCCACCGCCGCAGAGTTTTATGTCGGCTTCGGCGTCGCCTTCTGTTGTAGCCACCGCCGCCGTTAAGACGGCCAAATCAAAAACCAACCACGTCAAAACAAACACAAATATTATTTAGTAATTACCTATAGTTTAAATTCCATACCTATGAAATATTTTTTTTATTATATATTTATACAGGCGAGAAGAAGGGTGTCCGAGTAAGACTTTTTTTTTTTTTAGAGAAAAGGAACCCTAAATCTATTGTTGGTTATCCAGGGAAGAAGGGGGGGGGGAGAGAGAGTTTGCCTTAGACATTATCCTAATAGCCATATTGGAGTTCGAAGCTTATTGTTTCTCGACGAACCGTGCGTATTTAGGTTTTATTTTTTTGTAATGAATCGGGAACGAGGGTTTTCAATAACATTCCGATCCAGAATGACATTATACGCTATATTTCATTGGCTCAATTTTTCAACGATTGTTTTATAATATTAAGAAGTCTGTCAAATGCGTAACTAGGTTACCTACTTTGGTTTTTTACTTGGACATCCTCTGCGCGCGTAATTTAGTATCGTTACCTTATAATATTATATATATATTTATTTTTTTGTGCCAATTTTATTTTTATGCCCGTGTATACTGCACGAATGATAAGATGATTTTTTTTACACTCGTTACACGGCTCGCATCGATTATGTAAATTTTAAGGTTACATATTTTTGTATTATATATATTTTGAAAAACGATCATATAGGATTAATTGTACAAATTGGTATACCTACTCAAAATTAGGATTACCATCAATTATAATATAATGTCGAACTTTTTTTTTAACGGTCTTCCACGAATTTCGTTGTTTTTAATGTACTGAACAATAGGTACAATAATTTTACTTATAATAAGCCATTTTTTGTATTAATATTATCCATGGCCAATAGACTGTTATTTTAGCACCGCCATAAATATTAAGAGCGTTTGATTGTTAGTATTTAAGATATTATATGTGTCAATTTTGATTAAACTCTAGACTTGATGTAATGTGCCAAAAAATGATTGGTCCATAATCGTATAATTCAGTTATTCTAACGAATAGAAAAAATTTAAACATTTACAGCCTCGATTGCCTATTCTTTTGTTATAGGACCTATTATATCATAATATATTATTAATTTTGTAATATTTTTATGTACCCACATATTTGTGCTTACTTGTGTTAGTTACCTAAAAAGTGCCTCCTCATTTTTTTACATTTTTATATGTTATTATTAAATATTATCAAAACACTATTTTTTTTTATTTTTTTTTTGTATATTGAAGAAGTTACTTTTAAATTTTTAGTTATTTAAAAATCAGTACAAAATATTGCACAGTATTATTTTGTTTTTTTCTTTTTATAAAATGTTTAGATCTAAATTAAAATTGTATATTTACGTATTTTAGATTTGAATAAATATTATCTATTGTAACATGTTTTTCGTCATGGACATTATCTTTATTTCAAGACAATGTACACAAGGTAAATCAATTTGCACAAAGAATGACCAAATCAAAATATATCTTTAAACATTTCTGGATAAGAGTGAAACACTTTGTCAATCGCCAACAGGAAGGACGTCCACTATAGCCATGGGCGCAACTAAGATTGAATAGTTACAGGGGCTACACTCCTACAAAACCAAAGTGTAATTAACTCGTGGGAGACAAAGTCCCCCCACATCACCCTTATAACTTATAAGATTCACTGAAATTTGGTTGTTACAAAAAGTCCGCTAAAACCAAAATTTAATGCAAACCATAATTTTGTTGGGTCATCTTCGTTCATAGCACTATTTGATTTTATTAATTTGAATAAAATTGTATACGATTAAGTCTAACGTATTTACAGGGATGTATTGGTAAATAATGTCTTGAGTATACGCCATATTTTTTAAATTGTATCTCAAATAAAATTTTCTCATTAGGTACGCTCGATACTTAGTTAATATCTATACCAAAAGTTTTTCGCTCCGCTCGATAAATTTTTTACATAGAAATAAAACATACTTATCGAATGAATATTTGATCTGTTACAAAATAGTAAAAGAGGAAACGAGTGCAGACCTCTTATTTTACTCATATATGTTAGGTACGAGGTACCTATATAGCCTATAGGTTATTGAATAACATTAATAAATATTAAATAGGTATACTGACTTCGGATATTATTGTATATATTAAATTGTAATTACCTTTTTAGTCACAGGATTAAAATAATCAGCTATCGATACTGCTGCAGGACGTTTATTAGCTTGAGACATTTTACTTTAAAGTTACGTACGGTTAGCTTATAATAAATTAAAACGAAATATAACACTAAACGAATACGGAATATACTAGATTTGCTGTTATCATACGTATCATATGTAAATATTGTCATATTCAATGTATACATATATAATTATTCAGCACTATAGACTATAGTCTATTTATAGCTTGTTTATGAATTTATGATAACATTGTATGTTTTTCGAGCGTTCGCCGTTCGGCCACGGGTAACCTCGGCGGTTGTAGAATGTAAATAGTACTATCAATAACAGCCGTAACAATAACCACAATCTTCGATTATACTGCATACCGTATACGACCTGATAAGTAATACCTATTCAATCGTAAAATATTATTTTGAATTTTAAACCACAGAATTTATAATCCAATTTTAAATTTTCAAAAACAATTAATAAAATAGTATACGCTTTTCCATCTATCACCATTCACCGTATACTCGACATTTACCCACCGTATACCTATAAAATGAATATTTTTTTCATGTATACGCATTTCTTTATAAATATTGTTATGAGTATACGCCGTATACTCCCGTATACGCTCCAATACATCCCTGCGTATTTACCTATGTCGAATATACGTACTATAAAATAAAAATAACGGCTGTGACAGTCAGTAATAGTATCTACCTGACTACCTACTTTGCCGTCTGCACAGAGTGCCACAGTCAAACTGTACATTGAGAACTGAGAATTGGAAAATAAAACTGTACCGTACACTGTACAAATGTGCGATTCAACTAATATTATAAGAATAGGTATACCAATACGGAACAGGGGCACCTATTTAAAGGTAATAAAATAAAATAATATATTAATATTATATATAATAGGGGAGTTATATAGGTAAGGTTGAAGCTAATATGCAATAAGCAGATACGCTATACACCTCAAACACATTTCTTCCGCAAAAACCATGACCAATTACGATAAATTCGTACTACATACTACACAATGTCAATTATATTATATCATATTTTATAATATAATAATTTATTATTTAAACATTATTTTTTTTTCGGAACGATTTGGGTTTTAATTACGAGCCTAAGGAGGGACTAAACAGTAAAACCTCATAGGGGGGCTAGATAGAAGTACGGGGGGGCTAAGCCTCCCTAGTTACGCCGGGGACTATAGCAGATGTATTTAAGGGTGATGATTAGCAGATGCGGACAGTTTTTGTCAGGGGAGTAGCGGTTCACTCTTATCCTGAATAAGAAATAGCATTTCTAGTAGATATTAAAGACCTGCAAGGGCCGGCCTTTGAAATAAAATAAAGGGTTGGACCGGGCTTTTTAAGGATTTTTCTTCAACAATAAATAATCACAATTTAAAATGATAAAACCGACGTTGGTACAGATTGATTCATATAGAGTATATTCTATGGATAGATACTAGATAGTAGATACAATCACAAGGAATATAATAATTAAATAATATATTGTTTGGTGGGTATTATATTGGTAGCTATTTATATACCATAATAATATTATATTTTTTTTTCACAATATTTTTTGGACCAGGCCAGGCAGGGCTTGAGGATAAAATTGATGGACGGGATTGGGCTTTTTACGAGCTTAGCATTATTTTCGGATCGGTCCAGGGCTTATTTTCCACAATACTTTTTGGACCGGGCCAAAAATTTAAAGCCCTTGCAGGTCTATAGTAGATATAAGTATACAACTTTGATTTTATAACCAATGACCATTTCGGCCGCCTAATCGTATAACACAGGATATGCATTTCACAGAATTGTTCAGAAGATGCAAATTAGTGAATTTGTTGTCCATACATAGAGATGGCATATAGTGTATATAAATTATTTATTTATTTTAGTGTACTAAATTTTATAAAAATATTTTTTTTTTTTTTTGAGGGGTGTGAAAAAACAAAATATTATCATAAAGTATAATGTATAAAATATATATGTGTGTAATTTAATTCAAATAGCACACATATGGTTATAGAATACAATATTGTATAGTATACAAATAAAGTTTGGAAACGTCCAATACAATCAAATAGTATAAAACATTTTCAAACTTCATTTTATGTAAATGATTGCATATTATATAATATTTATACATAATAAGATAAGTTTGGAAAAAAATTCAAATAATAATTCATTAATAATTAGGCTAATGTTCCCATTGGATCCCAAATGGGAAGTACTTGAGGTTCTTGTTGGAATACAGACAACACCTCTTCGGATAAAAGACTCTTGTCTACAACCACTTCAAACACATATTCTTTAAACCAATCTGTGGTCATCATCAAGTAACCTTTGTCACCACGTTCTTCACCCCAAGAGTTTTCAACACGCCACTTGGTTGCATTACCATTCTAAACAGATGTAAAATATAATTAGTTAACGATTATTTTCACATATTTTAAGCGATTCACTCACTTCAACGTTGACTCCAGTTAGTACCATTGCATGTGTCATGGCAGATTCACCATATAACATACGTTGAGCTTTAGTCATCGGGATCGATACATCAGTTCCAAAGACTAACTGGTAATCATGACTAAAATTATAAATACTCAAATAAATTACATGTTTTCGAATAAATATGTTTATAATATAGATAAATTATTTTTAAAGAAACTTACATTTTCAAATCTTCCAATCCAAGCTTATCAGAAAATCTTTTGCTCACTTGACATCCATACCATACTGGTTCACCATTATTTACAATTGATTCTTGAGCTGCCTTAATTAATACTTCAATTGGCTGGTTGTTATAGAGAACTTTTCGCCCACCAGCCATGTTATTTAACATGTCCAATGTGTACAATTTACCGTACCGGTTGTTTGGTCGTGGATCCGAAATCAAACACACCTAAATTAAATATAGATAAATATTGAACACAAATTATACTACATATTATTAGGTTATCTAGCAAGTACCTTTTCTACAACATCAAACACTGGGCGGACATGTGTCAAATAGAAATCCAATGGAGTGATAGGTCCAACAGTGTTGAACACTTTAGATTTGTCATAGTATTGCCATTCAAATGTAGCTGGTGGTATACCCATACAAATACCAACAATTCGATAAATTACTTCCATTTGTTCTTCAATTTTGGTTTTAATCTCATTGTCAGTAGCGTTATCGCTAACAAGTTTGTGCAAAATGATGGCATATTCTCGAAGCTTAAAATGTAAAAATGTAATTATTATGAAACATCTACAAGTTGTTAATTATGAGTTATGACATAATATTATTACCTTGCTGTTCAGTATAACATTAACAGTATTACTAGTCTCGCAACTAAACGACTCGGGGAAGTTCTTCTTTGGCATCAACCCATACTTGGTTATGATGTTGACCAACATATCCCACTGACCTCCATCTTCAATAGGTTTCTTTAGTCAACAAAAATAATTTTTAGTTTTTAATGTTAACAACATAACTTTATTGTCTAATTAGTAAATATACTTACAGTGAGTAAACAAGCAGTGGTTCTATCATCAACAGTTTCACCACGCTTAGCGGTTTGTACAATTGCATTTAAAAAGTAATTGCTTCTTTCAATCTAAAAATATAAGAAATCAATTATTTTACAACTACGTATAGTCAACTTAAACATAATATTAACTGATAAATTCCTCTATAAATTAGGAAATTAAAATAGCTTATAAATTATAATCACTGATGACTTTATTCTATATTTTATTCAGAATATTTAATGTTAAAATTATGAATTTTTGTGTAAGTAATATACAAATTTAAAGGTTTATATCTAATATATAAATTTAAAATTTTTTCTTTGATACATTTCATTTTAATAATGTAAACTAAATTAAATTACTACAGTTAATAGTTTATTTTATTGAAAGAAAATATCGCTTAAAACAAATATATTTTACTATCTGAATTATTCATATGCATAATGTCACATTTATTATTAAATCTCTGTAATAATAACAGTTCTATATCCTCCAATAAAATATAATATTATTAAATAATGGTAAAACTGAAAAATATATATAAGAGATTTAGTTGCTGTACAATATTTTGTACTCATAAACATTTATACCCTCAAATAATACATGACAACTTCATGAAAAATGATTGTAGTTTTGAAAATCTGAACAGTATTCTGTTTATTATACCCAAACCTTTATTGTATTTGGGGTGAGTTTTGGCCCCCCAAAAAAAACCAGTCCTATTGACGAAGTACAATACAAATCACAAATGATGAACAGGTGTGTAAAAGGGACCACCTATTGTTAACATCATCCAACAGGCCAAGGTCATACAAGTACATTATATTGCAGGCACAAAGAATAATATCTTTGAAAATTTTTATACAAACTATACCTTGTCCCAAAAAAATATATAAGCTTGGCTGAACTCAAATTCTTCTAAGTTGAATTGTTTGATGAATGGAACTCTGATCACATTTAAACATGCAAATATCCAACAGCGACCGGAACTTCTTTGGTTAGTTACTGGTTTGCCTTCAGACTCAATCTATCAAAAACACATATATTTAAAGGTTATATGGATCTAAAGTCAGAAATCAGTCAAACCTTGTGCGTGTAATAGTGATGGCATTCCTGTACTCTATTTCTTGATGTGCTCACTTCTGTTGGGCTGACACGAGAACAGGCATTTTGGGCCAACACATTTTTGGCATCACTGTAGAATGCGTCACTGAATTTTAAAATATTTTTGGGATTGATGACGGCTAAAATATAAAAACCTTATATTCCAGTAAGTGTATACAACAAAACATTATTTTTTTTAATTTTAAATAATAATAATAGCTCAAACAAAATGTTTATACAATATATAAGAATTTCCCTTGAAAGCTATCAATTGATACTATTTTAATTAAGCGTAGTCATACATCAAATACATCAGGCTGTTAGGTGCCAGGTAATTAATTATTCATTAAGTAAATTCATTTTTTAATACTATTTCATCACACATGGTAGGTAGTTAATATAATTGTATCTGTATAGCTATATTTTATAATAGCCAATAAGCTATTAAACTATGAAGAAAACAAATTATAAAGAATTCTATAACATAATTCATTGAGAAGACAATATGTATAGGCGTGTAGTGTTCACCTTGAACCCTTATAAATATAACAAAACAGAATTTATGCGCAGCTAATCCAACAATTTATCAAAAGGATGGTATTTTTTGAAACTATCGACAAAGAAGATGAACATTGTCATCTAGACAGTGCATGTCTCTTATTGGTTCACTGTATTCCATTGGACACAGTAACGGTAAATTAGTTTTATTATTAAAGTATTCATCTATTGCTCAATCGCATACCATTATAAAAGAAATTTATATTTGCTTATATTTTTATATTGTCTATGCTATGAAATGGGGAAGAAAATATGTTATATTAATTCAGAAATTTATAAAATAATAATGATAAAAAAAACTTAGACTCAATTTATTTGTGCAAGACAAAATTAGTAATGACACTATGTTTTCCACTATGAGATAATTTAATTAATTTAGATTATTTGTTAAAGTTATTTTCATAGAAGTATTATGATAAAATGATGGTAGTTAATAGAACAGGGGGGAAGGTAGTGAAAGGTGGCAATCGCAATAATTGCCGTAGTCTCAGATAACAGGAAATACTAATAATAGTATAAGTTTATTATATTAAAATATGCGTAGATAAATAAAATAATCAAAATTTGTCTTACATTAAATATAAAGAATAGTTTAACAGGTGTCAAAGAGAATTACCTGTATTTATAGAATTGGCAGTAATATTATGGACGATTATTGAGTTTAAGGTTATTCTAAGTGACTATGCAATATTAATCAGTATTAATTTTAATAGCTACATATTTGTATCAGTCAAATTAAAAATAATTTAGGAAAAATAAATTAAAATATTATATTTCTATAGGTAATTTCTATGTCTGTTGATATACCAATACATTTTTTAAATGTAGGTAAAATAATTGAAAATATACAATTTTTTTATAGTACCTATTCAATAACTATTTGTCATACAAATAGATAAAAATAGTAAGAACTAAACTGATTAAACGAGCTAGTGATGTAAGTACCTAGAAGATCTTTTTAAATAAATTAAAAACAAAATTGTCTCTGGATGTAACAAATCGTCAAATATAATATCAGGATTTATACAACCCACATAATTGTATGTTTATGAATAGTGTTAGCATTATTATTTATTAAAGACCAATGGGCAATGAATATTATCTGTTAAAATTATAGCAATGTTATACATCTACATAATGGTAGTATAAAAAAAGGTTGCTTATCAAATGGACACTATAATATTGTTGAGTAGGCAAAAGTATATTAAACAAGATTCAGTTGTATCATGATAATATTATTATTGAAAAAAAAAAAAAAATATGATAGTCATTTAGGTAGTACAAGGTTGTCTACCTACAGGTTACAATACTGTTATCTGCCCACTCATAAATCTGTTAATGTTTAGACCGTTCAAGAATAGGCGACCAGAACATTTTTGTAAGCAAAATAATATGAATAAATAGGTAGAAAAAATGATTTTGAATTTTTTTTTTTTTTTGAATTAAACTTAAAATAATAAACTGTGATCTCGCTGAGTAGTAGCTGATTAGTTTTAATTTACCCAGACAACACGCAAACTTTGTCACACAATTGGGTTAGTTATAGGTATAACTGGCATGGAAAAACTTTTAAGTTCCTGACATGTAGCAACTACGAATTTTACAAATGTCAAAAAATAAAAGATGGGTAGGTACATCCGACAGCAGATTTTTGACTGTGTTGTTCGATTTTACCATCGACGGCGACGAGGAAACTCAGAAACCGGGAAAAAGGTCTGAAAAAGGGCATCGTCCTGGGGATCCGAAAAAGTAAACCGATACAGCTCGGATTTGCCGATCGGTCGGAAATGAAATATAAAAATAAGCCAAACTATCGAAAACCCCGGGCGCGATATTGTGTGGTCCACGAGTCTTACATGCGGAATCGGGGTGGGAAAATTCTTTTCAAAAAACGACGGCGGCAACGGGACAGACGCACTGGTAATCGTTACTATTATGACGTTATACTTACAAGAGAAGGTTTTCGCCATTTTTCCGGAACGGTCGGCGCAGCACAGTTCGAGATCGTGTGTCGGAAAATGTGACTGGGATTCCCTGGTGGTCAGGCGTTATCGAGATGGACTAAAGAGTCGGCGGCGATGGCAGTAGTCACGGTGGCACAGTGTACGATCGTGGAGCGCAAGTAAGTAAGTGTGTTATTGTAGTGCACTAGTGCGCACTCTAATAGTACGGAGCAGTGTAAATATACCGAGCACGAACGCGCGTGCGCGAATAGTAATAATAATATCGTCGGCGGCGGTGGCCCCGCGGAGGGGTGGGAAACAAACAAAACGGTAAACCGGGAATTCGTATAAAAACAAAAACAAATCACGAGACTCGTGGAAGGCGGAATAGGACGCGACGAAAACGAGTAAACGACAAATGGTGAAAATATCGTGCGAACGATGGAAATATGGTGTTATTGCCTCGAGTCCGCGTCCTGCGGTCGTGCTCGTGCGCGTGCGCGTGTGGCCCACTACCGATGCGGCGGCGACGGAGGGTCGTTGCCCGATTGGCTGGCGGGCGGGCGGGGGGTCGTGACGTTTACCGTTCGGCGGCGACCTCGTGGAGGCGAAAATGACGTGTCGTTCTGGGCATTTTTTATTATTACTCCCTTTGTAATATCTCCCAGACATTTTTCCCCGCCAATTTTCAAATCCGAAAAAAGCGAGCACCGCCCAAAGACTATTCTATGACCCATGTTACTTTACATAAATATTCGGAGTATTAGGAATTCTTGACATCAAAATTAATACTTTTTATAATTAACAATCAAATCTCTTAAGTTTTACCGTTTTCTTGGTTGGCTAATTGCCGCGGATATGGAAATAATCTGTTATCTGTGTGTTGCAATATACACATGAACGGTAGAGCTGGTAGAAGGTCCTATATACTAGCCACTAGGTGTCTAGGTAGATCGTAAGTATAAGGGTATTTGGGTGGTACTCGATTCTCAAAATATTTTTTGATTAGGTATCACCTGATATCTCACACGATATATAAGTGCCCAATGAGACTTAAAAAATTATGGAATATTTTGTTCTTGTCACTGATAATATTCTAATAGTCCTTATTCAGACTTTAGAGAGTAGGTAGGTATACCTACGTTAAAAAATAGAGAAGTGAGAATACGCTGTATACCCAGAATACCAATGCCTACATTTCAGACACAAAGTACATACATTTTAATTCGAAAGATTTAAAAACGGTAAATTATTATGTGTACAACACCCGCTGGGTTGTCTCCGTTTTACAAGCATACATCATAACAAATTTTACGTTCACAATAATCCTTTTTACTCTGTGTTTTCTTACTTATTATACAATATAATCTAAAGGTAAGATTATTATTTAGGGCAGAGGTATTCAAACTGTGCCTCGTGGCTCCCAGGGGTGAAAACACAGGGGAGCCGTGGGATGAAAAAGTTTAAATACATCTGATCTAGGACATTTTTAAGGCTTTTTAAAACATTTAAATATCAATAAAAGCCGCTTTTATTGATATTTTAATTTTGATGCGAGTTATGATAATTTTCAAATTGTGGAGTTCATTTTTTTCTTAAAATTGATTATTAGAGCTGAGGACTTCTACAGTTTTTTCATATTTGTCCATAAAGGTCACAGAAAAATGTGAGTGATGTATAAATATGATTCATAACATAATAAGGTTATATTTAAAATGTTATTTTTTATAATATATAGTCGTTATTGCATATGAATGCATATTTTAGTATATTAGACAAATTAAGAGCATATTATATAGGTAGGTACACATTTGGAAAATGTTGATATTTAAGTATTTAACATAATAAAACATAAAAAAATCTGTATAAAAATATTATTTTACAAAATATTCTACGGCCAACCTATAGGTATATAAAATTAATATTGTTGGTTGATTTTCAATAAATTTATCAAGTTTTTCCAATGTATTAAAATTATATATTTTTCTATTTTTTTCACATAAATATTACAATGTAGGTTCTATATTTTAAATAATATTACATTTTTTTAGAGCATATTTTAAGTGCATATTATTTGTTTTTTTAATGACTATATGCACATATTTTGATGTTTTTGAGCACCTATACTAGAAATCCTCAGCCCTACTCCCCCACTTATTACATATTTAGGTGCACGGTCTTATAATAGTGTCATACCATAATATATTGTTCAAATACATAGGTACATAATTTTATTTTGTGTAGGTTTACGACTAAGAAATATATGGCTTGCGGAAAAATATCTACCGTCATAAAATACCGTATTTCTACATAAAATAAAAAAAAATTATATAACCAAAAATACAAAGAAATAGGAATATTATCAAAATTAAATTTTTTGTTTAACAATACTTGTGAAATTGCAGGTTCAATTAAATTATTTCATGTATATCTGCACTGTTTACAGTTTTTCACCATGATTAATTTAGCCGGTTGATTAAAATCGTTTTGAGGAATCAACAAGGAAGTGTTAGATTGTCAGAACTTGCTTTGATGACTTTTATATGTCTTAAATTCACAATAAGATAACATTAAAATATATATGTTATATGTATAATATATGAAATTGTCAATATTTTTCAAAAATGAATTTTACATAATAATTATAAAATTTAATTGTGCAATTTTTCATTTGTATTTATAACCACCCAGCTGGCCAGTTCCTTAAAAAATGTATTTATGGCTATGTTAGTCACACCATGCTGACTAGTGATAAATTGGCCAATAGTGAAAATAATTTGTATATACTCCACTGGCTTAAACGTACTTGATTTAATTATTTTTAGAACTGAAAGCGATCTCTCTGCTTAACAATTTGATATGGAACTGGTGACAGCAGAGGGATATCAGAATATGAGGATGTCAGCAAACTAAATGTTTTATCTCTCTGACAATATGCGTTCAGCAGAACCAACCTTGTGTGTGGGCTTTAGTAGTTTACAGTATTAGAGTGAATTTATTGACCTATTATCAAACTTAAAGACTAAAGTTAAGAACATTATCTGTATTTGTGGTACAAACTTTGTACGTTATACGCTATATTTTAATATTAAAGTGAGATATCAGCAATTTTAAATTGTAATAACTTACACATACTTTCATAAAAGTTGAAATATTCCAACGTAGGTACTAACACAGATAATATTTTCTTAACTTTAAGTTTGATAGTATGTCAGTTTACTATAGTATTAACTAAAGTAAACATCACAAGGTTGGTTCTGCTGTACGCCAATTTGCTAAATTAATCTTCACATTGATATTATATGGAACAAGTTTTACTATTTCAGTTACGTTGTGCCAGGGAATTCATCATTAGACAATACCAATAGAAAAATAACCACAGATACTAAAATTCATTAGAAAATGTGTAAGCGAGATCTCCTCTGTAGTAGTTTTGCTACAAGATGTCTAAATTTTCGGGATAATAATCGATTATGAAAACGAGTGATTCACTGAGTTGATTACGCCGTGCATGTTGTAAGTTATTGCTTTGTCGTAATGATTATTATTTTTAGACAGCCCCACTTTTGTTATTCTTAGTATGTTGTTTACATTTTTTTTTTTTTTTAAAGGTATTTCGTAGAAATATAATCCACTTATTTTTAATATGATTCATAAAACACCAAGGCAATGCATGAAACTGTCTCTGCGGCCCCACACGGAGCACTGCACAGCTTAACGGTGCTCCACATCTTTAGTTTATACTAGAAAACATAAAAATTCGACATTTAAAAAAAAAGGGCCACCCAGGTGTGGGCGACGCATCTTCCACTACCACCCCCCTAAATACGTCACTGCGGGGTATTATTATTTATCGTAGACTAATAGCCTTGCAGTTTGGAACTGCAGCATAATGTTGAAGGATTCGCACCCATGATGTTTTTTTCATATTGTGTATAATTTTTGAAATATATTATACCGTGGAAAATTAAACTCGGGCCGATAGAACTGTGTTTCAGCTTTAATTCGAGAAAAAACCCCACTGAAACGGGCTAAATCGTTGTCGTGTGGCACCCGTGAAACCGAAATCCGAACGTTGCCGCTCCCATGCCTAATGCCTAAGTACGAGATTTACAGTTAGTCGAGTGTACGTTGTGTATGCGTGACGGCATGTTCAAGACGAAAACCGGTACAACGAGTGTAAGAGAACAAGCGTCGGTCGACCGCAAAGTGCTCGGCTCTCGTCGCTCTCGAGAAACTAGCGACAATTCTAATGTGGTTGAGCCGCGTTGAGAAAAATCAAAATAAATAATAACATTGTTATGCATGCAACACATAAATATGTGATGCGTGTTAAATTGCCTATCCACGACACCGTGCGATTCTGAGTGCATCCATACTTATGGAACTTGATAGTTAAGGTGTAGGAGCTGATATAACAGATAGGTAAATTAAATAACTGGTCGAAATTTTTAAATTTTCATTTTTTAAAATGGCGATATTTTTGTAGAGTAAAATATGATGATCTAACTAACGTAAAAAATATTTTAAGTATTAAACTTTTTTAAAAATATTATAATAATATATTATATTGCATTGCATTGGGAATTTTTAAATATGGTACATTTTAAAATTTTTTTTTTTTTTAAAAATGGCGTTTATTGAAAATTTACAATCTGTACATTACATACAATAAGTAAATATGATAAGTATAACAAAAACAAAAACAATGGCTTTGAATGACGTGTAGGAAGGCTCGCAGTCGAGTCACCCTTTTACAGTGAAATTAATTTTTATATGTAATAATGTATAAATGTGTTTTATTGATTAAGAAGATCTCTGCACCAGTTTCGTTTGAGACGTCTTGTGGGGTTGTCAGGAAGCATTTTTGAGGCCAGTTGTGAAATGAGGTGGTTGTGGTTCATATGGAGTTTCCCATGAAACCTTTTGTAAAAACTAGTGGCTGTGTCGTGGATGGTTTTGATTTGGAGTTCATCGTGGAGTAATTTGTTCGTTACGTACTAGGGAGCTTTATCAATGATACGGAGACAGATTGATTGAAAAGCTTGAATCGTTTGAGTATTGGATTTTTTGGCTGGGCCCCAGAGTATGATGCCATATGTCCAAATGGGACGGAGGAGACATTTGTATATAAGAATTTTGTTTTGGAAGTTGATGTTGGATCTTAGTAAGGGCACATTTTAAAATCTAAATATTTTCTTTTAATATATTATACGTGTACAAATTCGATACCCACTATACTATATATTGATTAAATATAACTCCTATGTTTAAAAATATTTTTCTAATTAATTTGTGTACATTTTGTTTTAAACAGTTCGTTTGTAAGATGCAGACATTTCAAAAATCAATCATAAAATACGTTTTTGGCTACTGTTCACAACCGCTTTCCCGCACTGTTTAGTAGGTATTTTATAATCGCGGTAACCGTAAACTATTGTCTATTGTACATTTGTACAACAACAGATTAATATAATTTATGGTTATCGTTTTCCTCGAGATAAGATTTCGTTTTGACTATCGTTCAATTCTTACAACTCCTCTAAAAAAGATGTAACCTTGAAAGATTTATTTTCCAAACAGATAAATAAAAAAAATTTTATGTTACATGCATAAATGAAATGGTTTTATACATTTTTGAATATTATAGGTTGTTAACTTGTTATATGTATATAAATAAAAAATTGATACTATTTTAACACTTAAAAATTTCCAAAAAAAAAAAACATAAAGGAAAAGTTATTACTATTCAAACAAATGAGTGACTTATTCCAAAAAAAAAATAGTGGCATCATTATAGGGGGGCCGAACTGTCTGAACATTGCTTGACCTCCACGTAGCATCGTTTATAAACACAACAATATATACAAAGTTAGATGACCTCTAAACAGCCAGAGACCACATTCCTTATCATGTAATAGTGTGTACGCACTCAAGGCTCAGTTAGGGTGCACAATTTGAGAGCATTTAGCTGAACTCAAAGTGGTTAGACGAGGTGACCGCCTTAAGTTCTTACAGATTATACAATTATTTAGGTTAGCAAATGACCGTTGGGACCAATTTGTTTCTTTTACTCATCATAACTTAGCTACTGATATGTCAAGGAAGAGCTAAAATGTCTTATATATTAGATTAAATTGTAAATTGTAATAAAATTAATAAGATTTTGTATTCAAAAAGCAGTAAAAGTAAAGTCATGTGAGTCTTTTTGTTGTTACAGCAGACCTGAATAGACCACTATGACATGCATGATGAAGAAATCCTATGAGTACCAAATGTGTACGCCTTGAACGTGTTCTAAATTTTATTACGATCAACTATGTATCACATGTGACTGTAGGGTTGGTCTGACAAATCATACAATATTTTTCGACACAATTAACCAGTCGAATGCCGACAGTCCAGGGTCATGAAGAATTGGTGATGATGATATACGGATACAGTTTGCATCAACAATAGGTAATAAAAAGTAACAATAAAACGTTGTGCCACTAAAGTTGTAATTACAGTAGTTTGTAGTGTAACTGGTAACAACTAAAGGGTTTGAGACCCTTATACGATTCCATTTGGTTAGGTTGTTTTAAAAAATAATATTAAAAATATAAATAAATTATGATAGGGTTAGAGTGTTAGTAAACCATCCTGTGGTTTCAGTTGATGTATATTCATGTGTAGGAAAAGTGCTACCAACATATTGCATATTATACACCAAAAGAACCGACACAATGTAGTGCAAAGGGGCACCACCTTTAGTCTCATTAGAGATTACAAACAGTTACAATTTCATTACAAGTAGGTAACACTATTGCACAACAGTAAAGTAAAACTAATAATTTACAACGTTTGATATGGACAGTTATCACTCATTAGGTTAGATTTTTTTTTTATCTATTAAGTACACTGTAAAACTACGTTTTTATAAGAACTGAAAACCTTATTATTAATAATAAGAATCAGCCACTCGAGACTTTAGTGATACATGTTACTGTCCTATAACTAGAACACAACTGTAACCTTATTTAACTTTATGTTAGAATTAAATGAAAACAATATTTTAATAACAATTACAAGCTGACACAATTTCTTTGATATTATACCACAAAAGTAACAAAACACAACATTTGATTTCATTTAAAATGTTCTTATTGACATTTATTTATTTTTCATACAAAATATACTATTATATTAACACAAATAATAATCTTTTATTTTATATTTTTAAATTAATATACATTTTCCAACTATTTTAGCAATATTAAATTTAATTTTTAATTGAAACAACAATCATCTTTTTTTACAACAGATATAATTTATAAATTATACAATTACAATTTTGCCTCCACATTTTTCAGTCGTTAGCGAGCACAATAATATAATATTTATATAAATTTAATAATAATATTATAATAATAATAATAATAATAATAATAGAGAAATACTTTGTCAAGAGATGGTATCTAGTTTTATAGTCAACATTAGTCGCTAACCTACACTAACATTGACGCTTTTTAAAGAATATCAGCTTTCAACCGTTATGTATTTTAAGTAATAATAATTATAAACAAAACAAAAATACAAAATAATAATAAAATATAAATACAGGAACTTTTACAAATTCAATAATTTCTACATAAACTTTTTTGTTGATGTGTTTGAAATTTGCTATTGGCAAGAGTCATGAAGAGGCTTTAATAAGTTTATCAAATTATTTTACATATCGTAATAAACATATGTTTACGATTAAACTATTTTACATCATTATTACATTTTTAAACATTGTTTTGGAAAAATTAAACTAACTGTAATCAAGTTATGTCAGCGAAATCAAACAAAAAAGTTTAAAAATTTTTTTTTACATACATGTCAACTTTAACATTTGTTGTTTGACTTAAAAGTTTTAATTAATTAATACATATCAAATATAATATATTAGATACATAAAGTTTAAATATAATCAATATGTTTGTACAATTAAAAAATAATGGTATTCAAAGCAAGTATAAAAAAAACAAATCTGTTAAAAAATACATTAAAACACACACACAAGAGTAAAATTGGACATTCAAGTGTTGAATTAAAATGCGCGTTATCACTATATTTTAAACAAAAATTGAAAAATATTCAATATAAATAATAATATGGTCCTATAACAAACAAAAAATACATCAAAGACAAGTGAATTGTAAAATAAAAGAGTTAAGAATCTATTGGGACAATCGAGGTTTGTTTTTGGATGTTTTTATTACTTCATATAAATTTATTTTGACTACAGATTAAAAAGGGACCATAAATAACATCAACAAGACAATATATAATAATATATAGACAACAGGGATTAATGAGAACAAACACATATTATACATAAACGCACACTATGTATTATACAACTAGAGTACTTTTTTTTTATATTGATTGACAACGACAGCGACAAAATCAAAATTGATTCATAGAAACATAATATTATTATCAACATAAATACATATAGAATAAAAAAAAAAAAAATACAATATAATATAAATAATATCTTAGTTACACAACACGTCCAATCCGAAAACGAGCAGCCTCATATTATATAATTTCTACACTGTGTGCGCCATACATCGTCAAGTGGCAAGGATACATGTATTTTTTTTTATTGATTTTTCACTCACTGATCCCCGAGGGGTTAATAATATATGCGTTCTTCAATTATAATACAATACAACGTATAAGAATAAAAACTTCAGGAGGAGATATTCTCTATGATGTACTCGTTTCAAACAAAAAAAGAAACACCATGCACATTGCACAATCGCGATAAATAGGATCACACGTTTAAATTCTTTATTTTCAAATTATTTTTTATAACTAGGGAGGGAAGGACAAAAAATAAAAACGAAACGATTATAGCAGCCGAATAGTAGGGAAAAACAAAAACAATATACAACGCCTTGTGATGAGTGAATGAAAATGAGAGAAAAATAAAATTAGCATGTTATACGAACAAAACATAAGTTATAACATAACATAAACATGTCATCATGGAAGTACAGAGGATTCGTTCGAGTGGCACGCGGGGGGAAGGACGGACCCTTAGACTTCGGTGCCGTCCTCGCCTTCGTCTTCGAACAACGGGCCGCCCTTCATTTTGGGCTTCGGCGGCGGTTTGGGCGGTACCTTTCGCTTGACGCTCGTCTGGCTGGCCGGCTTGAGGACGCCCGACTCGGGAGTGCCGACCCGGCTTGGCGCCCAGCTGCTCCGGTTCCTTGCGTCCATCTCCACCAGTGGCGAGTAGTTCGGCGGCAGAGCGTTGTGCTGCGGCAGGCCAGAAACCTGTGACGGTGATGACTTGTCCGGCGATCTGGGCGCCGGCGACGGTACTCTGCGGGCGTCCTGCGCGTCGTCGGCGGTGAATCTGGGACGGTGTCCGCCGCCTCCGCCGTGCAGCTTGGTCTTGTGCGGCAGCGTCTGGCTGTACTGCGGCTTGGGCCTATGCACGGCCGCCGAGTCGGCCACCGCCTTGGTCAGCGACAGCACCGAACTGCCGTCGGCCGTGGTCCGCGGGCCCAGGTTGTCGTACACCGGTTCGCATAGCCGGCCCACACCCAGCGGGTCGTCCACGTGGCCGGCAGTCGGCGTGGACGCGGACGTCCCACCGACGCCGGTGCTGCTGGCCCAGCTGGGCACGCGCGGCCGCCGCGGTATGGTCACGTAACCGGCGGGCGGCTGAGCGGGACGCGAGCTGAACGGAGATTGGGACCGGTTGTACGGCAACGTTCCTGAGTAGATGGGACTGTGCAACGGCGACTGGAACGATGGGACCGTGGACACTACGCTGCCGGCTGGTGAACTGTGGCCGCCACCGCCACCGCTTCCCCGGGGAAACGCCAACAGGTCGGGTGGGTGCGTGCCCTTCCGGTAAGAACGGCCGTTGCCCACGCCGTTACTTATGCCGCTGCTGTCGATGATGTTGGCCAGCTCGTCACCTGACTCACCATAAAATTGTTCGTCCGCATCGCCTAGATACACAAATAAGACGGCATACATTAGTATCAATATCATTACAACCACATTTAAATAATATGATATCTATTTTGTCGAGTCGGAAACACGAACACCAAAACATACATTATTAAGAAAAATACGGGTGCTCTAAATCGGCGTTAATGCGCAAACAATAATAATATTACTATAGTAAGACGTCAGCCTGCGAATTTCCATTCCGTCGAAATTTAAAAGAAACAGCCAAGCGAAACCAACCGGTGTACGTAAGGAAACCGGACAGACAAAAAATAAAATCTAAGACTAAAATTGCGCATACAATAAATAAATAATTACGTTTGGTGGCCGTCTCGGGTTCATGCAGTCGAAGACGCCGTTCCCAAGTTCCTAGTTTAATTTTATGCGCATACAAATCCTTAAATATTATATTATAATGTTCTACTTTCTTCTATTTGCTAAGTACAAACTCTCCAACATTACTGCCGTGGAGGATTTGAATAAATCATGATCTTATAAAGCTGCGAGTGTTTAGACTTTCAGTCGAAGGATATTAATTATATCTGTAAATTATTTAAAGGGATGCTGTGATTTAAATTTTAGTTTGACAGTATATTCTTGACATTTTTTAATTAGGACGGGGGATATGCGTGTGATTTATATTATCTTGAATCCCGAAAATTCCTGTCAAAATACGATTAGCCCATCTTTAATAAGCTCCAAGTGTATAACACGTTACCAACAGTATTTTATTTAAATATCGTTTTCAATCTGTTCAAATGCAATCAGAGGCTTGACTTATTTCTAGTGCAAAAATACGAGCTATCCTCGGCCACCCTTAACATGAAAATAATTATTGAGCTTTAAAGATTAAATAAAAAGATTAAAAACCAATGTATCCAATACGTAGAAGTTGGAACGTACAAAGGAAATCAACTTCATATACTATAATAGGTAATCGGAATGAAAATATTTCAATAAATAATACAAAATATTAAATTATAAAATAAATCATAATAGGTAAATTAGTACTCCGTTTTCCTAATAATTTTACGATAACGCGAGGACTTCAAATGTTCTCGATTGTATTCAATAATTCATTTTTGGTATAACTTATTGACCATCCGAAAAGTTTTATATAATATGCTTGTTTTTTATGATGGAATAACTATTAAATTAGGTAACAATAGTATTATATTTTTGTTATCAATATTTAAATATTACTTATGATATTTTTATTAAACCATACGTACCTACCCAGTATCCATATAATTGTCTATACAATTATAATGAAATATTAATAATGTTGTAAACGTTTTAAAACATTAAATAAATAAATTTTATTCGATTACTTGCATTGAAAAATGCTGCGTGGATAATAATATTGTTTCCGGGGATTTCCTCCCCACAACTCCTTTAACAATCAAAATGTTGGAACAATATAGTTTTAAATTTTAATTGACGATTATGATATTATACGATTTCGGAGAAAAAACTCAATCAATCGAATATTTGATTGTGGCAAAGTACTTATATCCTATCATAAAAAAATAACCAAGACCCATAATATGAATATTGTATATTTGTTGTATATGTATAATATTATTTCGATTCAATTATAATATAATAATGTAGTAGGTAGGTATATGGGATTTTAAAAATCCGATTTTTTGTCGTCGCATGAGAGTGAAATCATTCATTTCAAATCTCTTGTGAAGTCGTACAAAGATAATTCCTATTCAAAATCACTCCTACGCACGACGAGGAGCCTATTATATTATTATATTCACGTGAAAAAAAAACCGACGAAATGGGGTGAGGGGAACAATAAATAATACAACAAATCTATATACACACACACACACACATACGACACGATAGAAGAGCGTACCGCGTAAACAACTAGCGGTGAGGGTGGGTGGTCCCCGGTGACATTTTCGATAAGAAAGAGACGTGTTCGTTAGAAAACTACGAAATATAAATTCGTGAGTTTTTGAATAATAACATCGGAGTAGGTATATGATAATAATAATGTAAGCCAGCGATCGACCGAATGCAGTGAAAAAAATGAAAAATAAAAAATACCAAAGACCTAGTTCCATGGAATTCGGAGAGAAACTACCCATACGTGCGGTGTAAAACACAAAGCGACACGCCACTGCTCGTTCGTATAATAATAATATAAGCTTTTCCACGAATCGGTGGGCACGTCTGTTGGGGATGGTTAGGAATTCGAAATCGATCTCGGAAGGAGGTTGGCGGCGCGGCGGGAAGACGATACAATATAACATAGGTAATAATATCATTATTATTATTATTGTGATCTACGGACTACGACAACGATTATTATATTGTATAGTAGTATTGTACCATAGTATTTTGTACCCATTATGATGCCACGGCTTACTGCTGCCGGAGAACGATGCAGGCGTATAAGGATTTTTTATATATTTTTTCGCACAATAGTTTTGTCGAAAATGACCTACTCGCCGAAAGCGCATGAATTTTACCTTTTTCTTTCCGTCTATCGTTTAACCAGGGGCGTCTTCAGATCAATTCCATGGGAGGGGCGAAAACATTTTAGTCTTGAATATCGCATTGCTAAACAAAAACTTAACATTTGTATGTTTAAATAATCTATATGTTTGTTGTTTGAGTCCATGGTCTGTATAATCAGTGTACAAAATATAATTAACTAATTTTATAAAATGTTTTTATCTATTAGCAAAAACAGAACATCTCCATTTCGCTCCCCTCTTAGGGACGCCGCTGCGTTTGACGGTGGTCAGCGGGAGAGGACTATAATAGTAGGTACTGAATAAACGAAATAACCGATATTCCGGAGCCATATTAGGAGTCTTGAAAATTATATTGATAATATTAATTGATATATAGCGGTGGAGTAGCTTGGAGAGCTGCAGGCAACCCCGAACTTTCAGGAAAATTTAAAAATGCTTTTAGTGTTTTGTGAACACGTATTACGTAAGACGTAACCACGTATTAAAATATTGTGATTTGTACAAGAGTTGCTGCTAAAGGCTCAAACGTTGTATACCCACGACATCAGATTACCAAACCTATACGAAGGACCTGAGTGCCCGAGTTTAACAACTTCCACTATGTACAACAAATAATTATAAGCTCCCCCGAGAATATAAATGTTGGTTATACCGATGATGTATGTCTTATTTTTTGTTACAGTTTTACGAAATATGCGTTCTGCACCAGTATTTAATATTTATCCGTTACCCATGGAATACGTCGATGATAAACACATACGGTAGGCATAAACACTCGCGTTATTGAGACGAACAATAAATAAGCCTATCGGAAATATTATTATCGCTCAATTATTATTATATTTTTATGGGCAATAATACGGTCGTAATAAACGTCGTCGTTATCGTTATAATTATAAAATAATAATACCAATTATTGCTATAATAGTACAATGGTTCTATAAACGCATAATGCCTCTACCCCCGCCTACTCATCAATATCGTTAATAAAGCATACCGCCGCCGGTGCTGACTGCGGAGATGAGATCTACGAAAAGTGAAAACTGATCGAACAAATTATTACTAATGAATATAGTTCGAGATAATAGTACGCCTAGTACAGATGAGTCTCGAATGAATTCGACTTATTTGCTTTGAAAAAACATCGAGTTATAGCGACTAGTCTATGAATTATTTATTGATATGTTTTAACGTGTAGAATAATATTAAATATATATATTTATATATGTATATAAAACGAGTAAGCGTAATGTATCTGGAAACCGGTAAAACTATATTGTATACATCGCGTTGTTTGCAGTTTTCTGCATGAAAACCGTTCGGCGTACAATATTATCACAGAAGAAATAGGTAGTTAAATATCCAGAAAAATGCTTAAAAAAGGTCATTGTACACTTAGATATAGTAAGTTCAATGCGATAATTTTCATTAAAATATCGTGTAAAATTGATAAATTAAGCAGTTCGTCTCGTTTCAAAAACAGTCATCTGTGCTGTGTAGATAGGTACAGTGTAAGCTGCACTGCGTTTGAAAAGATTTGGTTTTTTAATCGTCTTATTTGATTTGTACAGCTCACTTTTCACCTAATCCGTAGTGCGTTCTAATAACCATTATACAAACGTATTGTATTGTCCGTCTAGTGTCTAATATCCGAGACGATGGATGATAGGGTCATATCATAATGTTTGCGCGTGACCTCGCTCGCCACGTGCATCATACGCGCAATCGGTGCAGTTTGATACACCGAAGAGCTAAATAATAGTGATTAAATAATAATAATTGTATTATTGTTATTATTATTATGATAGACCTAGATCTCGATCTCTCGGATCCGGGTCTGTGTTTCTGGACAATACGCACGGCACGTTATCGGCGTTTGTATAATATTGCTGCACTTTGAACGGAAACGGTAGAACAGAGGCGACGGCGGAGAACGCCGAACAGACAATAGAGAAAATGGAACGGAAAACAATAATATCTCGGGACGCACAGCCGTTATTACAATATTATAATATTAAATACAACGGTACGTCGGTACCTAACAATAACAATTCTATAGCATTTGTTTTGGTCCGGTCGCCGGGTAAAAGTGCAGCGAACGGAAAATGTCCAACTCGAAACAAATGTCCATACCTACGTATGCGTGGAACGAGTAGGGATTAATAAAAAAATAATAATTATGATAATAACAATTATAATCCGTCACGTCCGTCCCACCCACTCCTCAAATGCCACCTTGGACGGGTGTACACTGTACAATAACAGTGAATTGTTGACAATTTATTTTATTCCATCCGCTTTTTTTGTTTGTATGCACGTACCTATATATAATTATTATACGGCAGTAATAAGACAACTATACTAACTTACTTACGCAAGCCTAGCAATTTAAAATTGCGAATCTCCAAAACAAAGTCCCGATAACAGCACTCAAAGCTCATTGCGAAATAATAACAACTGTTATACAAAATTGGAGAGAAAACATCTAAATCTATAGGCTAAAACCACGCTTAAACCGCCATAAGACATATTCCTAGAAGACCAACCCCAGAGAATTAACGAGAAGAAGATATTTATTTATGTTTAAACATATGTATATGATGTAAAAAACATGATGGTGCGTTTAAACGGTTAATTGATTAAATTAAAAATATTATTAATAAATAATAATAATGTTAACTCCGAAATCAGCAAAATATACCGAGGTCCGAGACGCACCCGTTCGCGCCCGGGTCGTTTTATCTGTGTTTGACAACGGTGGTGACACACACTTTTTAAACTCTCTAAATACTGAATTTATACATAGTTATCTACATGCAACCACGGAGACGTCACATTTTATTTATACACAAAATGGCTAGTTTGTATACACGTCGGAAATGTCTTTCGATCACCATTAGGTACTTAACTAGCGCATGTCCAATATTTAATAACGCATATACATCCAACGCCACGACCCGGTAAAGGGGCGCAGGGGTAAGATTATAAGATTACTCACATATCATTCCACATGCGACACACACATTACTACATAAGTATATTATGACCTACATAATCGGGAATGACTGTGGTGATATACTGATATTATATAAAGCGAGTTAAAAGAAGTTTAAATTTTTTTCAAGAGACATGACCCCGCAGCTTGCCGACGTTTCCCCAAAAACTAGACGCTTGCAAACTTTCTTTACGAAAAACGTCAACGGTTTTCGGTAGTCGTTCCTTGCACTTATTAAATCTGAAATTCAATTACGACTACCCCCATCTCTCTAGACTAGCTCTCGATTTTCGATCTCCAGAAACTTTTTGAGCTCTTCTTACCGGGAAATGTAAACAATAACAATTAAAATATATGTATACAAGACGCGGCAAATACATTCCTTGTGCGTCGCTCAGAATCTAAAAATCAATTAACATTTAACGGTACAAAAAAGTAAAGTTAGGTTATGTATGTTTCAGCGTGTTTACAGAATAAAATTGAATTATATTAATATCGGAATCAAATGTTCTACACTATTGTACGTTCATAAACGATAGATTTTGGATTTTTGCTTAAATCAGCGCGGGACTACTCCGTTGGCCTATAACCGTAAGAATGTAGTCTATTTTGAAACAAATACTTTCGGATACGAGGAGGGGCGGCGGGGAAGACTTTGTAAAACAGTGTTAATGATAATAGAATACAAACATAGATAATATAGAATGGATAGGCATTCCTGAGCATTCCCGAATGATAAGCTAAGGATTTATATATTTTTCTAACCATAGTAAACAAGTCATTCATCATATAAAAAAAATACAATTTAGCCGGGTTCACAACTGCGTCGTCAGTCGTGTTGTCCAAAAGTTGAGATCTGCCTAACTATGGAGATTTCCAGGTAGATCGTGGTTGGCGAAATCAAAATGTTCTTAGTTGCTACTATATAATTAATAGCAATTATCAGTAAACAGTAGTAAGTCGGAATGGTTAGGTTAAGTTAGTAATAGTGTTGTCGATGGAGCATATATATCGAAACTTCGGGAAAGCTACCCCAAAGGTATTTATTATAGAGATGGCCTATATTCATTCTATAATATAATCGATGTATACAAAGACTACCTATATACATAAATAATAAAATATCATTATTATATTGTCATTGACATTATATATATTATTCTAAACAAACGTGCACCACGGACTGCTTAAGACTGTACACTAATACTGTGTCTTTAAGCAGAGACGCGACGATGAGGCCGCCGTCGTCTTTTGTCTTTACCTATCGTCCACGAAAGTGGGACTTTTTTTTTATCATCGCCGCCGCCACCGCCTTCCTCGCCGCGGAATCCGTCGAAGGTGTAGGGTGGTCGTGTGCCGGTTCACTCTTCACCAAGACGATTCACTGCTGCAGCAGGTGGGTGACGCGAACGATACACCACCACCACCAACCACCGCCGCACCAGGTCGACGAGCAAACGACAATATTAATTTCATTAATTTTTTTTTACAACTTGGCGTACAATAAGTACACGACACGGGCGCGTGCGTGTGTGGTAAATGTATATTATATTGTGCGAGTCGGCCACGGTAAAACTACACGAACACGCGACGATAATAATATAATAATAATAATATATAACTTTATATTATTATATTGTGATGATAATAATATTATAAATGTTTAAATAGGCGAAACGAATTTCGTGTTTGGTTTTGTAAAAAAAAAATACTCGTAAAAGAAAGCACACACGCACGCGCCCGACCTGCAATATAGTTGCATAGATTGCGTGTAAACAGCAGCGGCGCAAAATTAAACGGATATTGAATTTCAGCGTCGTGCCGAATGTGGCCTGTATATGGAAGGTATACCCCTCCGATGTAACAATCTACCTACATACTCGGATTTCTTTGCGTCATTTTTGTTTCCGAGATTCATTTATAAACTCGATTTCTATAAAATACATATCGATATCATGTGACGCGTGTGCATATATTATTATGGTAAAAGTATAATACTAATAAATATTATACGGCGTATATAGGTACTTTAAAATAACTTATAATAATATATTATGATGTCATTCTCGTACATTATACTGCGTTCGAATCATTACAATAATACATCATTGGTAGTGCGTTGGAAATAATAAACGTGTGTGGTATTGAGAGTCTTCTCTCGCCCGGGACGAAACGAGTCGGAATAATGCTCTAAGCAGTAATAATAATAAGTAGAATTAATATTTTTTGCAATGATCCCGCCCGGCCACCAACTTTAAACATAATATACTACAGGTCATGGATATCGTATTTTGCATAATTGTGCAGGGCACACTGGTTCGAACCACTTGGCTCTGATTGGCTCCAATTGCCCCCAATTGCCACTCGGCGTGGTTTTCCACGGGAAATCGGAAAATAACGTACAGGTCACCGTTCAAAAAACATTAGGTACCTACTCCAATAATTAATCGACTGAAGATAAGAATGAAGTATTATGTTATTATACAATATACGAATTGATCGTTATCATATAATAAAAACGAACGAGATTGGTAATTAGTATGATATACATGGCTGCAAAATTCAAACATCGAGCACAGGGGTGTGTAGACCTTATTTGAGGGTTAGGCAAAACAAAAAAATGCGCCCTGCCCTCTAAAAAAAAGTGCTATAATAAAATTAATGTCATCAAAATATAGAATTTGATGGTAACATTTTATAAAAAAAATATTTATAACATTTTGAACTTGTCTATACTTTCTTTAATATATTGATTTCCGTCTACCCAATCCATTTGATGATAATTAAATTAAAAAAGTATTAATACTGAGTTTATTAAGATAAAAAGGTCTTTGATGGGAAATAAATGTATTAATCCCTTTGTTGGAGTCGCAGAAAATGCCTTGACATATTATTATCCTGCATATCCAGCGAACCTATCGAGCTGGCCAGAGAAAAGCCGTTTCAAAATATTTTTATACCCATACAATATGCAAACCACATAACTGGGCACGAACTGTTCGGTTCACCTTTTCGGGTTGTGCCGTACACACGGGACAGTGACATGGCGTGCCGCGAAGATGAAACCACACAGCGATCGATAATCGATAGTTTTTCGGAATGCGGAATGATGATAAAGATCACGAAAAAAGCAATTGTAATGAGGCAATGATGCGTTTTTTTTTTTTTTTTGAGGTTATTCTTTGCAAAAATACCAGGGATGGAAAATGTTTTTAAACGAAATCAAAATTAAAACTGGAAATGAATTAAATATTTTGGATAAGTATTTTAATTATTTTTTTTTGTTAAATTTTATAATTTAGAACTAGTTTATTTTAATATACAAATTAACTTTTAAAATTCAAAGGCATTTTAATTTTAAACAAATTATATTTAAAATTTGAGAATAATTAATTTCAAGTACCTATAGATAGGTATTATTATTATATTTAATTTAAATGTGTTTTTTTTTAATTGTACTATTGAAGCAATTAAAAAAAAAAAATTCTCTAATTAGGTAAACACATACACTCTAAGATAATATAATATATTGTTATAAAAATAACGTTTTTGAAATGCTAAGCAAAAACGATATCGTACATACATTTATCAGCTAAGATGAAAAATCTAAAACTTAAAAACATTTTCTATCCCTGTTGAAAATATAATAATATATTATAACACGATTACGATGCGTAAAGGTAGGTACTGACCACTGACGGACGTCTCGTCCAGTAAATTCCTCTTCAGTTCGGTCATTTCGGTGCCAGTCGGCGACGATTCATATCTCCTGGGCGGCTTTTGAACCGGGTTCACGACGGCCAAAAGGCTCTTTTGCTGTTCAGACGGTTCGGACACTAGAGATGTGACGTGGTTGTGATGGTTGGGCACGTCGCCGTTGGAAAAGCCGTTGGCGTGCGATTTCTTCGACAGCACGCCACTGCCTGCCGGTCGGCGCCGGTAACAGCACAGACAGCAAACGATCAACAAGAGAATTATGATGAAAATGCCAGCCACCAGGCCGATGATGATGGGCAGCGATTCTTTCACGCTGACCGTACTACCTAGGATGCCCTTGCTACCGCCGCCCTGTAAACGGCAAGGTTAAAAGGTTATAAATACGCCATGCAATAATAACAACAGTTATAATAATATTATTATTATCATTTATCATATGATATTGCGACTAAAACGTAGGGCATGTGCATGACATCATACTTTTTCGTCTAGAATCCATCGCAGCAACCAGAAATAGGTTTAACCTAAACCCTTTCCGTATAATATCGTTTTACACGTATTTGAGCGATGTTTAGATAAATGATGATAGAGAGAGTGGATTAAATGACCAATCTGAGAGTGCTATGATAGGTGTCTGTTTTATTCAGAGAAATAAGTTCCGGGGCTTAAATGAGCGAGATAAAAAAATTTCGAATTAGTTTATGTTTATGGGCTTTAATATCCTCTAAGCATTTCAACTGTCAATACAACATATTTGTACATGATTATTAATTAGCCATTAAGTTTTTGGGAACTATGACATTGCCCGCTCAAATTACCTATGGCAGTTTTAGGGTAAATTAAGTACCCACGCACAAACTGCAGGCGATATAGTATGATATTATCATAGTTTATCGTAGTAAAGATTCCGGTGGCCGGAGAAGGGATTGACAACATATATACCTGAACAATGACGGTGATTTTGCGCTCTTCCAACCCGGCGGGGTTCTGCGCGATGCATTTGAATTCGGACTTCCCAATCAACCGGGACCGGGACACGGTCAGGTTGATCCACTTGGCCATGGTGTTGTCCACGCTTTCGTACACCGTGAATTTGTAATCACCGTGCGAATAATTCGATATGGGCCGGTTGTTGAACACCCACTGGACGCTGGGCATAGGCTCTCCGTTTATCTTGCAACCGATCGTCATCAGCTCGTCGTCATCCAGCTGGAACGTGGAACTCTGAGCGGGATACTCGATGATCGGCTGGCATGCAAAGTCGTCAGGTTTGATGTCGCCCCACAGCTTGTTCAGCAGTCTCGGTGGTTCGGTGCACGACGCTGTTTTGATGTATAGATTTTTGTTCATGACCTGCAGACATATAAAAGAATCAGTAAAAATTGTACTTTTTGAATTTTAGACTAGATATAATAACTAAAAAAACTTTGACTTTTATAGATTTTTGTAAAAAAAATAAAAAACGATAAATGTCCGTATTTTTAGTTTACATACTTTAAATTTTATTAATACAAGCACTAACGCGTATATAGTGTTCAATATACAAACCAAGTTCATGAACGGCCTAAGCTTGCAGTCACATCGCCACGGGTTGTTGGTGATTCCCAAGTTCATCAGACTCGGCACGGAGTACAGGACGTCGGCCTTAATGTTTGCCAACTGGTTGCCGCTCAGCTCCAGGCTATTAAACTTGGTGATGTTGTAGAATGTCTTGGGCTCAATGTCCGTAATTAGGCACGAATTAAGCTCGACCGTCTGCAGGAACGACATGTTGCTGAACAGACCGTTCCGCAGCCGCTGTATGAGATTGTGGTTCAGGTAGATCTTGCGCAACCGGAATGGGTCTCGGAACGTGGTCGGGTGTAGCACGTGAATGTTGTTGTTGGACAGGTCCAGCTCGATGAGTATCTCCAGGCCACGGAACGCGTCTTTGTCCACCAGCTCGATGGAACAATTGCGGGCGATCAGCTTGTGCAGGTTGATCAGGCCCACCTCCCGGAACGCGTCCTTATTTATCTCCAGTATTTTGTTGTTGGTCAGGTCGAGCACCTGCACTTCGTTGCTCAGGGTCTTGGGTATGCTGGTGAGGCTCGAATTGATGCACTCGGCCATCTTCTGGCCACTGACCCATTTGCACCGGCACGTCTGCTGATTGCACACGGTGACCCAGTCCAATTCGGATGCCGAGTGCGACGCGATGGGCGCCCACAGCAGCAGCGCTATCAGTATATACAGGCCGATCATTGTTTACGCATAACAGCTGGCATCCGTGTACAACGACCTGTGAAAAAAAATCAATCAAAACATTATTATAAAATTAATAATGTTCACGCAATCAATGATCATTTCGAACTATCTGGAGACTCACGCGGATGTGATAACGTAAAAGTTTGAATAATTTTTTTCAACTATACTATGAACAGTCTTCCTGGGTGAATCTGTAGATTGTGGAAGGGGGGTAACGAAAATATGAATTAGGAGTTCTAGTCAAAAAGCCACAGGCAATAATAGTTTCAAATTCAAATTTTATTTTAGAGTTATCGAGATAGTAGAACGCCTATAACAAAGATTAGGTACGAAAATGTATATCATTCTAAATCCAAGGAATAAGACATAATATAATCGTTTTTAACGGCATTGACGTGACTACGTGACGACACGTAGTGCGGGTTTCTTTCAATTTCTTAAACCAACCAAAAACATTGAACGATTTCAACATAAATTATATATTATACATATAATATATCTACCGGGTGGGCCACAGTGTATATATGCAAACCTTATAAGCACGGCTCGGAAGTTGTAGTACTAAAAATTTTACTACGAGTATTTAGCTTTTAAATATGCATTTAAAAACTCGAAAATATACGCTATAAATAGCACGAAAAATCCGAAAATATGCATTTAACTTGAAAAAATTAGAAATTTATTAGAAAAAAAGGTGGGCAAGTGGGTGTCGCTCTGCTGTACAGTAGGTTACAAGTGGGTGACTGTATAATGGATGATATTAAATTTGAATTCAACGATATAATATCATTGTATAAGAAAAACGATTCTGAGCGGAGACGGTATGTCAGTCTATGTATAAGACATATTATATACATATCTATGGTATTAAACAAAAAATTGACCTATAATAGGTACCTATAATAAATTCCAAATTAATCATATCACAATATCCATTAGGTACTGGTAACGCGTTATACATCAACAAAAACCGTGATACTATCATAGATATATCATATATAATAGTACACTTTAGAAGTTTCAAGTACCCACGAATAATATCATTCAATCACAACAAAATAACTAAAATAGTTATTCTAGGTTTTTTAATATGTAATTTCGTCCAAATTTGAATTTAAAATGTCTGTAAAAAATAACTGTGTTCATATATTTTTTAGATTTTTTGGTTACAGTATGAACTATTTACGAGAACCTTTGTGTTGAATTTGCAATCCTTAGCTATAAAAACTGAACATTTTATAATTTATTAATTACAATGATTGATAATTTTCGAGATTTTGAAAAATTTTGTCAAAATTTGACCTTTAAAATGCTTATAAAAAAAAACTGTGCCTATGTATTTTTAATATTTTTCAACTGATATTGTAACAATATATCAGGAGCCTTGAATTAAATGTTTACACTTTTTGGCCCAACAGATAAAACTTTATTGATATTTATAGAAAAAAAAACTAAAAAAAATTTAAAGCTGTAAATGTCCATAAACAGCTCAAAAAGAGTCAAAATATTTTCAAAATTGTATGGTGTATAGGAAATGCTAATATAAGCATTCAGTGAAATTTTCATGTATCTACAGTTATTCGTTTTTGAATTACAACAAAATAAGGAAATCGATACATGAGAAATCGAGTGAACATCCAATGTTGTAAAAATTTGAATTTCAAACGCTCATAAAAATTTAATTTGACTTTCCGGTAGAGATTTTTTTATTGATAAAAGTAGACAAACTTATGAGTAATCTTGTATTACATTTTCAAATCTTAGATTTCAAAAGAAAAATTTTTACGAATTCTTAACTCAAAATAATTCGCTAATTTTCGTGATTGTTCCATATTTTTACAATTTTTGAACTTTAAATGCTTATAAAAAAAAACTGTGCCTATGTATTTTTAATATTTTTCAACTGATATTGTAACAATATATCAGGAGCCTTGTATTAAATGTTTACACTTTTTGGCCCAACAGATAAAACTGTATTGATATTTATAGAAAAAAAACTAAAAAAAATTTAAAGCTGTAAATGTCCATAAACAGCTCAAAAAGAGTCAAAATATTTTCAAAATTGTATGGTGTATAGGAAATGCTAATATAAACATTCAGTGAAATTTTCATGTATCTACAGTTATTCGTTTTTGAATTACAACAAAATAAGGAAATCGATACATGAGAAATCGAGTGAACATCCAATGTTGTAAAAATTTGAATTTCAAACGCTCATAAAAATTTAATTTGACTTTCCGGTAGAGATTTTTTTATTGATAAAGGTAGACAAACTTATGAGTAATCTTGTATTACATTTTCAAATCTTAGATTTAAAAAGAAAAATTTTTACGAATTCTTAACTCAAAATAATTTGCTAATTTTCGTGATTGTTCCATATTTTTACAATTTTTGAACTTTAAATGCTTATAAAAAAAATTGTGCCTATGTAGTTTTAATATTTTTCAACTGATATTGTAACAATATATCAGGAGCCTTGTATTAAATTTTTACACTTTTTGGCTCAACAGATAAAACTTTATTGATATTTATAGAAAAAAAACTAAAAAAATTTAAAACTGAAAATGTCCGTAAACAGCTCAAAAAGAGTCAAAATATATTCAAAATTGTATAGTGTATAGGAAATGCTAATATAAACATTCAGTGAAAATTTCATGTATCTACGGTCATTTGTTTAAAAGTTACACCAAAAATTCTGGATTTGACAGATTTTGTGAAAATTGATTTTGCATAAAAATTCCTTTTTCTTTTGTTTTTATTGGCACTTTTGAAAAGTACTGTGAATTTTAAAATTTGACCTCCCCAATGCACCAACGATATTCACTTTCCAATCGAACAAGATACTGAAGTCGAAAATCGAAGCATTATTTCGACTGCTTATCGTGTACACAGACACAAAAAATTAAAAAAATTAAAAAAAAAACACACATCATTGTAAAATCAATAAATTCATCGTTCCACTCAGAATCTAAAAATTAAATATCATTTTACAAATGTTGGGCTCATAGACGTCTGGGTCTAGGGGTATATGGACTGGTTGAATTATAAACTGTTAACAAAAATATTAAATTACTCAAATATATATTTGTAAAAGTGTACTTATAAATTATAAATAAATGACTTCATGTATTTACCTTGAAAATTACACCGGATTATTAAATGGTTTCTTATGTTTTTCTATTTTTCTATTAATACACTGTGCTGTCAATGAGTTGTAGAGCGAAAACATGAAATATTACTCGCTAAAGTCTATTTATTTCCTAACCAAGTTAATAGTTATAGTCAAAATAATGTGATAATTTCCTACATCATGTTTATTATGAAAATACACAAAAATGTATACCAAAAAATAGCACTAAAAACCCTAAATTAGCAAAATACCAACAAAAACCGTAAATATGCAAAAAAAATAGCAAAATAAAATGTTCTTGTATGACATCAGAGAAGTGTGAAACATATGTGTATCTTACTTTGGATGATCTAGTACGAACCAAGAAAAATATGAATTTACTAGAACTTCCGAGCCCTGCTTATAAGATATGTACTTAAGTACATCACAACAAATAAATGAGTACGAGGACACGTTGCCATACTACAAAACACGAAGCCAAATGATTTAGTAAGTTCACCATTAGCTGTGCGCTCAATGTATTGTACCAAAAACAAAATACCAATGTACTTTAAGTTGTCGTCGGAGAATATTATTTAAACTCAAAATGGAAATTCTATTCATTTTGCGCGACTTTAATATTTGTGTAAATCAAATTAATTTTATATTATGATGTATTCTACAAGTTTCAAAAGTGACGTGAACCGAGTTTGGGATGATTGATTAACACAAGTCACAACTTAATGAATGTATTTATTGTATTAATTCAGTGTCGGAAAATAAGAAGAATACAGTTTGGACGATTAGTAATTCCAGTACGAGGAAATATTTAAGTATATCTACAGTCTACACGCGTGGATACGCGGTGTACCTATACATTTTTAGATTCATACGTGTCCCAATGTTTGCATATTATATGTTGAAAATTCCCAAAGGATTAAAGTGAATATAGTTCATTCGCGATTCAATTCAAATCAAATATCATACAATAATGCATGAAAAACCAAAATGCACACAATATGAGATTATTCGATTTCTAAGTAAATGTGTAGTTTTGAGTAAATAATAATAATTTTTGAGTTTTGGTAAACAAATCCATGCACCCGTGGAGGGCAAAAAATGATGTAATGTAAATGTAATACAAATAAAACATTTATCACATTCACCGATTATTATTAATGTTTGCGTTTATAAAACGGTAATGGTAATTTATTTAAATTGAAATGTGTGATTTTACAAAAACAAAAAAAAATGGAAGAATTAAAAGAGTAGGTAAGTTTGTTTTATACATGAAAAACAAACAGCATAATATCAAGTTACAATAAACATAGAAAAATAATTAGAAATACCATTCATATAGCTATTATGTATATTTAATAAATTACCAATTACAACAATGATACATTCAAAAGGATAACTTGATTTATATTATAGCTGGTTAAATGAATGATTAATTCAATTTTAAATATTGTTTCATCTATAGCCCATTCGTCTGTAATCTAAATTTGTTTGAAGTATTAAGTATTTAATTTGCATACATTAAACATAGTATTAGCATGTTACGGAGCAAACATACCACAACAACGAAAACGGTCTTTATCAAGACCAACAAACATAATTAGACAAAAAAGAACGGTTTGACAAACGAAAACCACACCGAACAAAGGTAAACAACAAGACAACGGTGTGCTTTTCATCTGTCATAACGAAGAACACGGGCCAATGAGCGATGGGCTAGATTGTCGAAGAGGGTATAAATACCGGACATTTTCGACAATCTAGTCAGTCTATTCATTACCTTCAAACCGTCAACAAGTACCTGATCAACAGAAACAAGACGAACAGAAGGACCAGACCAGACCGCAAACCGACTACGCATCCACGGCCG